CCTAATAAAAATTAAATCCTCTTAAAATTCCACGAGATTCTCAATGTGTGGATTGTTTTATGCTCTAAGCAGCGAAGAATACGACGAACCGGACACCTCTTTACACCACTGTTGTGCGGCTTTCCACATCATTATTCCATTGATCACAGTCTCTTATGACATCGCACATATAAAAACGGATATTTCTCACACTGTTGTACCTCACGATGACTATCAAAACTATTCTATCTTCTTTAAGGCCCAGGATACTGCTCTCGGTGTTCATTTCGCTCGTAAAATACTAATGGATCTTTGAGTCAACACTATTGGTAGACTAAAAATACAAAGAGGTGGGAAAGTACGTGCGTACATGTAAAATGTTCCAGCAAGTCAAAACCTCGGCACATTTTTCTCCGCCTCTTGCTATTTCACCTCTGATCACTAATTGCTGGGAATACATCAGTATGGGCTTTGTGCTCGGTCTTTTCTAAGACTATGATGGAAATACGGGTATAATGGTCTTTGTGGACCGTTCAGGCACAATGGTCCACTTAGATGCTGTGCCAGACTCCGTCGATGATTAAGAAACAGCTATGCTTTCTATTGATTGTGCTCTGTTGAAATGAGTTTCCACAAAAAATACATTCTGATATCTATCCTTGCTGCTTGTAAAAGCTTTGGTATTTCCTCTTCTTGGTGCTTAGGACACGATTCGAAATGTATACAAAGGATAATCCACAGACTGATACTTAAAATGCGCGAATAGATAGCAAGGTCGGCGATGTTAATCTCAGTGTTTGTGCTCTGTCACCAAAGTCAATTTTATTAAGTTTGCTACGAGCAATCCTGTCCATGCCTTTACCGCTTGACTCCGTCCTAAATGAATAGGATCACACACTTGCGTATTTCGCTCAAGCTAGCACTGCATGGTTATAGGCTTGCGGATGATTTTGCTGACAAGCTTGCTTGTGATAGCCCTACATATGTGCAAAAACATGTGAGCATGTTTCTCGCCGCGCGCTTTAGTCCCTTACAACATTTGCATGATGGACTGGCTGATAGCCAAGATCAACAAAGAAAATTAGCTAAACTCAAAGGCATATTCTGTATTGATTCTTTCAAAGTTAAGCATTTAGTTTTAAGAAGAATTATAATCCTAATACAAATGTAGTGTCTACCATACACAAGAGTTGTTGCTTCCGCACTTCATCGGCCGCTCGCAGTCATAGCTAAGAAAGACACGCATGTTAAATCTTTGGCTTAAGCTGCGCACACATCCATTATTTTACTCTGGCCTGCTAAAGCTGTAGAATAATCCTTCTATAGTGGACCAGAACGTGCTTGCGACTAGGAGAAGGTTTTCATCCCAGATAAATAAATCTTTTTCAGGGGATCCACCGGGCCACTAACTATGGCAGGTCTCACTCCACCTTCTGCAGTCGTTTGGCGACCGAGTTGGTCGAGCCGAAAGGTTAGTCTGCTCACTCAACTAAGCCAACTCAGTCAATAACTGTTTATGAGCGCTAGCGCGCTACACTTGGTCAAGGTTCTCCCAAGTTGCTTCCTCTTGGTCACAGACTGATTAAGTGCCGTCTGTACGTGAGCAAAATACTATCGAAGTCGCTTTCACCTCTGACACAAAGTCTATATAAGCCTGTACCTAAACACCGAAACCCTCTTGTGTTGATCGACGAGCAAGGAACCATGCAGTTCCAAGTTAAGAGGCTCCTGAAGAGGCATTTTCACAAAGAGCAATACCCGCATACGATGAAGTCCCGTAGTTATCATGAATCTTAGAATGTATGGGAGTTCGAGGTGTCTCTTCCACAGATTCCCGTACGCCGTCGACATTTCCGATTATCGCACTTGGGGTCATAATTAATTCCAACGCTCTTCCCACCAATAGGTGTGGGATATACCGTTTGACCACCAGCACCGAGTTAACCGCGACTCTCTGCACAGTCGAAACAATGAAGGTTTGGCCAGAAGCCGGTTTTGCGTTCCGAGTACGATGCTGTGATCGTAGTTGGCGAATGAGCTTCAGCTAAGCGAATTTGTAGCGCAACATCTCGTTAAATGAATATCAGTCATGGAGGCACTAGCTCGAAGATCTACCATGCTGGGAAATCGACGGTCTCTATGAGATCAGCGAATGAAAGCTCTTTCATCTTTGGCCTCACCCCTCCTGAGTGTGAAAATTCGGGACCGTTCTCTGCGTGGGCACAGAGGTGTCACGTGCTCGTTACGTAAACTGGCCTGATATTCAGTGATCGTCGTCGTTTCTGACGTTAGTTATCTCTCTCTCTGAGAGCATCTAGCCCAGCAATGTTTCATTATATGTTGTAGCCTCACGCCCTGTGGACCAACTTGTCAATGGATGCCCAGTGGAATTTGCATAAACTCATCAACGCACAAAGACGTGAAGATATAGTTTGAATGCACTTAGGTGACATCTAATGCCTGAGATAGAAGGCCACCTCTCTCATTTTCATCGATGAAATCATGTCGTTGCTTATCAAGCTTCTTGGTGATTGATTGGTGTATCAAGAGTAATTGAAGCACGCAACACTGTAATGGCTTGGGCTGAACTTCGTTTAGAATGGATTCGGTGCTTTGCGCGAGGTTTCGCGAGACGTTGAAGCGTCAGCCTTGGGGTCTTTAGCATCCTGTGCGACTGTGTTGTGATATATCAACCATGTTATCTTCACGCAAGGTGTCTAACACAGGATAATAGAAAAACGAGGGCCTTGTCGTTGATGTGCAAGGTTCTGGGAGCACAGCATAGAGATTATCTGTTCTCGCCGAGCTATCTCAATGAGGGAGGTGAAGGAAATCAATTTGGGGTTTCAAATGATCGGTGGGCGAGGGTGTAACGAAGCTAATTAAACGATCTTCACAATCAGGTACGATGGTGTGGCGCACAAATAAAGAGATCCATGAACCGATAAAAACGTATTGGATCACATACACAAGCGGTAATACCTTACTTTATCGATTGCGGATTGATAAATTCCGTAATGAGGTCACATGACAGCCACCACCATGAAGGGATAAAAACCTTGTAAGGTGATCTAAAATCGCAAGTTTTATATATCAAAATCGATGTTGTTGATAACATCAGTCATCCGTTGACAACAGAAAGATGTGCCATCCACTGATCTTTTATAGACTGAAGATTACTATGCAAATTAGTTTAACCGTAGTATTAGGTAGTTGAATGGGGTTTATTACAAAATAAACTGGGGAATGAAAGTTCAGTTCCCCTTTTGATCTTCGATTGACACGTGTCGATTTTCGACGTCCGTAGATCGTTACGAGTATGATCCATCTAGATGTATACTCTAGAGCACATTGTGCGATCGACTTTGAGAGCCGTTGTTAGTCTTATGAATTAGAACTGGAAGCTCAACGAGCTTGAAGACTCTCCGAGTCTTTGTCCATAACTTCTGAGAACTAAGGACTCGTTACACTAATAGAAACCTAGCTCCGTAGAACTAGGTGACTTCTAGAGTCGAAAGTCTTCCTCTGACTAAGAGATGTGCAACTCCTCTACAGTGTCTGTTCTAACGGAATCTTCACCGACCCCAGTGGCCGAGTGGTAAACCGCTGGATGTGGGACCGGGACGTACCTGGATCGATACCCGGTGGGGATTTGATTACAGGGCTCCGGATATAGGTCGATATAGTAGACGAGCAACCACGCAGAATTGGCCGCCCTACCAACCCGCGCAAAGGCGTGTGATAGTTGGGTGGGCTGGAGGTCCTACTGGCTGAAAAGCCCCATAGTGTAATGAGGGGTGCGGGTCCTGTAAGGAGTTTAAACTGAGTCACAGTACTCGCAGTTCACCCCAGAGTGATCTGAAGGACCGCGCGGCATAAATCTTTACCGGAATCTGTAAAAATTTCAATTTCTGGTGTGACCACACCAGAAGAAGCTGCACCAGGAATTCTGGATTAGGTAGAATTTACAGGGTTAAATGCGTGAGTGAGGTTTATTATCGTTCTAAAGCAGTAAATAAATTCAGCTACCCTTTGATCAGTTTACGACACGTGTCTTGTTCAGGTGTACTTTGGAAGAGTCAAGAGTCTGTAGTAAGGCTAGCACTATGGATCATTATTGCCGCCTGATTGCCTGGAGTCATTAGCCCCCTGAAGCAGGACTATAATCTTGCGAGCATGTTTAGATACTGAGAGTTAAGTCTCACTAAGTCTGTGAAGACTTAGGACCCTTTAATTTAATACCCGTCTATTCTGATGCCATAAAAGACTCCACGTATAAAAGTCTTCCTCCAAAAAGGAGTACGGGCATATCTGCTACACTTTGTGTCAACTGACGCTTTCTAGGATCCATTGTGCAAAGGACGCGATCGTGGTAGTGATCATGAACAAATATTGAGCATAGTTAAAAGATACTGAATCTGAGCTTGATGTCGATCCACATAGCAATTGATGCTCTATATTGTAAATTCATCACGCTAGTTTTATCGCTTGACGCAATGTACAAGAAATGTATCTAGTCGTACGTGTCCTTTTGGGATCAGTTCGCCAGTACGATTTGACAAATGCGATCTACTCGATCGCACTGAAATAGTGCCGTCGATGTTGCTACTTTAATTAAATTGATCGGTGATAGTGCATATGCAAACAGTCCGCTGACCTTGGTAGTGCAAGTTCGGATTAGCGCCAATTGGTAGTATAAGATCGGAATACCTACGAAGCCGCTTTTTTACATTCCAGTTATGCGCCAGCTACAAACGCGAAATACATGATCGGAATCGTAGTGCTGTTTAACTTTATATTCAAATCTTGATTCTTATAATCTGATGTATGGTAGTGAGTAAATACGACGCTGTTGATCAATTTAAACAGTTCGACTACGTGTGTACGTATCAAAGGGTAGGTGTGTGCACTATCAATCTCCTTATTTATCAATCTACTTATTAGCACTACTTCTACTTGGCCAAAAGCTGTGACCATCGCGTCGATAGGTTCCCTCTACGTTCCAATCCGCTCAAACTTGAATGGCTTTGAACGCGAAAGGACGGGAGCTACTTCGAGAGCTGCAACGGAGCGACTGGCTGCCGCCGTACAATGTGAGCGCAGCACATGGACCAATCGAACACAATGTGGTGACGAGACACGGCCACTGGTTGACACATGACTAATGTCCACACTTGGTCAGGAAGATTTAGTGCGACAGGTGGTGGAGGAGTCGCGACTGCTGCACGACGAAATATCGAGGAAAATAATGTGTGACGTGGATACTTAATCGAGATGCCGCTGTGTAGGGGTCGAGACAGTAATTTCTGGGTGTTGTTGTGATCTCTCTTGGAAACATGCATCTGTACCCAGCGCGTATCAAGACAATCTGGAAACGCAACCGGCATCCGTGCACTGCGGATTGATCGTCCACCACCAGTGTTTACTACGCAATAAGCGCTGTTTGATTGCGTACATGTCCGTAACTTTTCGTTTCGCTCATTGATGGGATTGTTGCTGCAGTGACTGCAGCCGTTCCAAAGCTGAGACGCTCCATTTGTCCTGCTGCATGTGTACTAACACACGTACCAATTTATCTACTATGCATGCGTAGGTACCACCGCATGGCGAAGATCCAAGCGCTGCGGTGGGAAACAGGCACCATCATCCCAGGTCCACTGGCTTCAAAGTGCGTTTTTGAGATGGCTGAAGTGGGAGGTGGAATGCAATCAGCGGACGACTGAAGTACTGCTTTGGTGTTCTAGTTTGTGCCAGCGCGAAGTGCAGTTCTTCAACCAGTACGATCAGCTGGTAACGAACTACATGACCGACTTCGAGCTCGACCTCTCGGCGGTACGAAGTCGCATTATCTTGTTGTGCAGTTCTGCAGCTGAAGACTCAGCGCCATATAGAGACCGGTGCTGACCGGTGCTGTGACTTTGCCGTTGTTGGTGGTGGTGGTGGTGCAGGATCTTCAACCTCCCAAAGACTTGTACGTAGAGGTGCGCGTACTGCGCGACTGCGGCGAGGTCATGACCGAGAGCGGATTGGTGAATCTGGACGCTCATTCGCACCATTTCTTACGACGCGTGGACGTGGAGCAGCTCATCCGCCAGGGGGTCCTCGAGCAGATAAAGCGCTGAACAACGCGACTGTTTCCGAAGAAGGGTGTTGCTCCTGTCTTGTCCCGTCTTCCTCACTCTTTTTGCATGCGACGTGTCGGGTTGCTGAGTCTTATTCACCGGACTCGCACAAGCGCTCTTTTCAGCCAATCAACATCCAGCCACTTTCCAAATTTCCACTCTTTTCTTCGCGAGCTCAAGCTCCACGTACCCACCGACTGTCGATCCACGAACTGACTCCTTTTACAGCCAATGACGATCCACGATGAGGCATGCGCCACCTCGAGTCAGTTGCCAAAGTGACAAGCGTCGCAATGGCCAAAGACGAAGCCGCCGACGTCACGTCCAGAGTCAGCAGCAGAAGCCCCGACAACGTCAAGCCTGGAGCTGCCAAGCCACTACTCGCTCACAAGAAGAGCTCTGGCATCTCCTCCTCTCGCTGGCCGGTGCTATCAGCTGCAGTGGTGCTCCTTGCAGTGGGTTGTGCCACGTACGTGGACGTGCCTCGAGTCGTCCAGAACCTGCAGAGCTTCGTCGAAACCCACGTATTCAGCGCTGGTAACGCAACGTCTGGAGCTGGGAATGTCAGTACAGACATCGTCCCGGACAAGTACACGACGGACCTGGTAGCGATTCAAGTGCGTCACATCGTGAGCGACTTGACATGCAACGACTCGGACTATTCGGCGTCGACGCTTTTTGACGGCCGAGTGGTGTCGGTGACGGAGCCCATGGAGGCAGAGCAGCCGATGGCTGAAGATAGGGTGTTTTTCATGCTCAACGGTGCCAACGATGGTGTCTACGTGTCCTGGAACGGTCAATTTGACTGTCTGGGTCAGGCGGCGGAGGTGGCTGCGGCGTGGCTGGGGGCAGATCGAGACGTGATGGTGAATGGAGTGCGTCTCTACAGTCAACTGGGCTGGCCCGTTCGCAACGCAGACGAGTTGCGTGATACAAAGAACATTGTCCACATACTGCTGGATTTCCAGTTGTGGCAGTGGCCAGGCGTTAAGAAGGGATACAAGTACGTTTTGGAGGACGGTGTGACGTTAACGACTGTGGGTATTAGTCCCAAGGTATTTGATGTGGAGTTTTTTCTCACTCAGGAAGAGGCTGATAAGGCCATTGAGATTGGATCGCCATTGCTGAACCGGTCAATGGTGGATGGGACAAACACGACCCGGGTGGAGTCGAGTTCCCGCACGAGCCACACGGCGTTTTTGCCGGATAGCATATTCACGCGAGACTTTCAAAAGCGCTCAGCTCTTGTCGCACGACTCCCGAGTCCTTCGTACGTGGAGAAGATACAGTTGGTGCGCTATGGTGCGGGTGAGTTTTACCGGCAGCACTTCGACACATTTAGTTCGCGTAAGTTCCTTCCGGAGGGTGCAGACGTGTTCAAGTATGAGGACTACGTGGAGTGGACCGTATGGGCTGCAGAAAAACTTCGAGGCATGGACCAGAACAAGGTGCCTGAGAAGTTTCGAGAGGGTGGACCACTGTTCCCGAACGCCAACGACTCCATTGTCTTTCCTCAAGCACTTCTCGGGATGTTCCGTGACCACATGAACACAACGAACCAATTCAAAGCTCTGTTTGATACCGGTTACGACGATTGGATTCGTACATGTCTGGATCGCGGCATCGAAAGCATGATGATGAAAACGATGGATGTGAAGCAGCGTCCATCTTACTTGCCGCTCATTGTTCAGATCTGGGAGGAGCAGCTGGGCCTTGGCGAACTGCGCTACACCTTCCCCAAGCACGACACAAACTCCATTTCGCGTTTTTTCCATTGGGTTCGCTGGGCGAAAGAGCGCGTGAGTTTCTTGGGCGACAAGGCACCGGCAGCTGCTCGTCCTGGTGGGAAGTTGTATCCCAAGTTCACTGTACAGTTTCAAAAGACGCTGCTCGGATTTATCCTTGATGATTACTCCCGGGGCTTTGTCGTGCGCATGACTAATAAGGAATGGTACGATTGGATGGTATTCAACCGCGGACGCAATAACGTCCTTTTCAAGGTGCTACAGGCATTCCCTCAGTCCGCCGAGCTAGCGATTCGCACGTGGGAATCACGCATCGGTGGTGTCCCAGAGCTGCACTACAAGCTACCTGATTACGTTCACCATTTCCATCCGCAGCGATATGTGACGTTGTTTCTTTACCTAAACAACCAGACCAAAATGGGTGGTGAGACGGTCTTTCCCTTTTCGCTGGACCGGTATTCGGATGAGCCGATCGTGCGTGACGGCATGGACGAGTGCTCCTCGGGCCTCGCCGTGCCACCTCTTGCTTTGCACGCTTCCCTCTTTTACGTCCAAACACCTAATGGTGTTGACGACGTCATGAGTCGCCACGGTGGCTGTCCACCATCCGAAGGTGTGAAATGGGGCGCCAACTCGTTCATGTGGGACTCGGACTCGCAAGAAGGCGCCAATCTTTGGACCACCAGGTAACGCGCACACTCAGCTAGTGTTCACGCGAGGTTGTCTTCTGAACGAGGAGTGGTAAGATGCCGTGTGCATATATTTGCAGCGTTGCAATTGAACGGCTGCATGTTGTTTAGAAAGAGTTATTTGTTGTGTTTACTGGATACGCTACGTCCATCTTCGTACTAGTGTATCGAGTCCACTCCTCCGGCCGTGACATTGTTCATTGATTGTCATCGTTTGCTGCTGGTCGAGCAACCAAGAAAAGAAGCAGTGAATGACATGGTGCTCAAGGCGCGAAACTCACGGCAGCGGAAGACCCGTTCCACTTGGATTGTAGAAGAAGGATGGCATAAACAGACTGCGTAGAGCGTTTCGTGCAGTATGAAAGGAGCTTATGTCTTTTGGTCACAACGGTACGCGTTGCAGCAAGCGTGTAGGGGTGTTAGAGCATCATTTTCCTGACACTTTTAGTGTCATGAGGCGCTGAAAGTCGGTACTAGATGTGTCAGTGGTGGACCGCATTGAAGTGTGTAGCAAGAGCCGAGGAGTTCCATGAGGTACTGAAAGCCCAATGTATCGAAGTTGCGACCTGTGACGTATGAGAGACTTGAATTTCATTCAGCGAGTGAAGAAATTTAAGTTGTCGATAGTCGCAATGATCACGGTGGTTCCGCATTTAAATCGCACCGTTTAGTAGCTGAGTCGCTTGTGTCCGAACTTAAGTGAATGCATCCGACTTACAAGAGGCGGCTGGAGAGGGTGCGGAGTCTGACGTGATGCCAAGCTCTGATTCCCGTATCAAGCAGCACTAGGTGCAAATGTAGCAACTCCAAATCAAGAACCACGTGTATTTTAGAATCAGTCGATCGAAATACTGAGCCGCTTAATTTGCACTGCACAAATTTGGAGGGGGGGGGGATGGTCAGCTCTCTTTATGTTGCGCTAAGGGGGCAACCTAACGCGAGCGAGTGGCTAGCGAGGGATTCTGCGGTCGAAAAACAAGCCGACCACCCTCTTAAACTGAGCTACTTCGTGATAGAAAACACGACTGAGCCATCGACAGGCATTTGAACATACACAGACTCAGGACACAGCCGCCTCTCTCCCCCTCTCTCCGTGCCTTCTTTCGCTTCTCGACCATGCTCGGCCGTATCGCTCTCCGCAAGTCAGCAGCCATCAGTGCGTCCTCTAAACTGACGTGTACCCACCTGCTCCGTGCCGCGACTTTGCACACCACTGGCGTGGTGGCCCAGAAGGACAAAGACGCGTCGGAAGCAGTCGCGGTCCCGACGCAAGGGCTGCTGGACCAAGCTGGACTCACGGACTGGAAGATCTCGGCTCCGATCATTGGCGCGCTGGCGATTCCTGCGATTTCTAACCACGTACGTGCGACAAGTAGCTTCATGTTGGTGGATTAGAAATGACGTTACATTAGGACATCCGCCCTAGATTAGGACACGTGACATCTGACACGGAGATTGGCTCTCTTTTGTGACTCTTGTGCTGTGGATTCAGTTTTACGTGCTGAACGAAGAGTCGCAGCTCGCGTGCTGCTTTCTGCTCTTTTGCTCGGCTAGCTACAAGTTTGGCGGGGAGATGATTGCCTCGTACTTTGACGACCGTGCTGCTGCGATTCTTGGGTACATTACAGTTGATACGCTCCCGAGTTTCTGCTGCCAAGGACTCGTTTGGCTCATACTTGAGTTTGTGTGATTATGTGCTTGTTTCTATCCGTGTTTGTCTGGGTCTGTGTGTGGGGGGGGGGTACAGGGAACACAATGCTGTCGAGGATGCCAACTTGGATCTGGCCAAGGCGACACTTGAGACGCACATGTCCATGCTCGATATCCATGAGGACATTGCTGCTGTGGCAGCTGCCCACAAGGAAGCCGTCGCGCTGCTGTGCGACGTGCAGGCCTACAAGTTGCGACACAAGACGCGCGAGACGTTTGTGAAGAACCTTGAGTCGATTCGTGAGATTGAGGCCAGCTACCAGCTCGAGCTTCAGAAGAGCATGGTAGCGAACGCTACTAGCAAAGTGCGTAGTGTCGTTCAGAAGGGCGACAAGAAGCTGAAGGACGCTGCTTTCAAGCACGCCGTGGACATCCTGGCTAATGTTGACGTGGACGACAAGAAGGAGGACGACGTGGCTGCTCTCTTCACCAAGGAGCTGCGCGCCTACGCCACGGACCTTGAGGCCAAGCAAGGGCAGGTGGTTAGTCTCACGGATGCCGAGCAGAGCGAGCTGCAGGCCGATCTGGACGCCTACATGCACCGTTTCGGCCTCGAGGACGCCGACTTTAAGGCCCCTAAGGAGATCAAGCTCGAGCTCATGTAAGCTGTCGTCCTGGCTTACAGCGCAGTGCAGATGGAGCGAAACGCGTGCGAGATAGCACTGGTTTCGCTTGAAGTGAGAAGCACTAAAGCCTGACGTAGAAGTACGCAGCAGTGTTAAAGTGAACGGATGTCCATTTTACCATGGAGAATAAACAAGCGCCCGTGTTGTCAAGCGATCTTTCACTAAAGCACGTCATGAGAAACTCCGATCCTGTGGTGTCGAGGTCAGACCGGATCCGGGTCTGGCCAAGACACTTGACAGTCATCATTTTTTCTTTTTAAAAAAAGGGTTTGCCGCTCAGTCCAGATTACCCGACAACGTTTGTTGTTTCGGCAGGTAATTGTTTTCACTCGCACGTAGCGCTATTCATTTATTTTACAATTAATTGGTTTCACGAATCCTCATTTCTGCTTCGGTCGTTTCTAAACTCTTCGTCGCGACACAAGTAGTCGCCAACACTAGAAAAAGACGCGAGACAGAGACAAAAGGGCAGAGCGAGCGAGCGAGAGAGCGAGCGAGAGTTGTCATTTCTAAGCAATGGGCCGAAGGAAGAAAGCGACCAAGAAGGTCCAGACGCGCAAGAAACAAGCGGTCTCTACGGTGTTCAAGTGCCCGTTTTGCTCGCACGACGAAGCCGTTGAGTGCAAAATGTAGCCACCGCTTGTTGTTTCAGTCTCACAGTTGAAAACCGTCGTGACCGAGCGCTCTTGTTTCTAACTGGTTGCCGGTTTGGTCCATTTCTATGTGGGTTTGGGTACATTTGGGTAGGGACCGTGAACGGAACATTGGCCACTTGTCCTGTCGCGTCTGTACGGAGAGTTTCCAGACACCTATTCACTGTACGCACGTGGGATTGGTGGTTGGCACCTTGGAAGGACTTTTCGATCGTGTACTGGGGGTACCGCCTGTTGACTGTGGCCCTTTGTTTGTTTTTTGCAGACTTGAGCGCGCCTATTGACGTGTACACGGACTGGATCGATGAGTGTGAAGCATTGAACGCGTAGATCCTCAAGCTGCAGGAGCTTGTTGACTGTCAAGGTCTGGGTTGACGATACCTCGCACTGGTGATGTTGTCAGAGAGAGACAATAGCGCGACTGACTGGCGAAGATGCAGGTAGATCCAGCGCAAGAAGGAGCGTTGGTCAGCACGTGTGAGTGACTCGTTGCTTCGAGTGGGTTTGGAGCTTGCTGGTTTAGCCAAACTCTTTGCAGTGGAAACGAGGCAGAGGTAAATAGATAGGGTGGACTGAAGCTGCTCATGATGCACAAGTCTTGTGTTGTGTGCAATTGTTGTTTCTGCTCTGCAGGCGTGCTGTAGATATCGATTGTGCGATGGTGCTATAGTAGTGGAGACCCAAGCTTTTGTTCAACCCGTCCTGCGAGCTGCCATCAACTGCTTCACTCTTTCTCTCGCGTCTATTTTCACGCGCCGACGACGTGATTTTCGGCGTTGTTCAGCTTGTCGGTCGAGCAACGGCAGCCATGGAAACCGTTGCCGATCACTTTTCTGCAAAGGAGTCTTTGGTTCCACCAAGTTGCGTCTCCTTACAGTGTCAAGAGCGCACGTCTGTTTGTTGAAGAGCGATCGTTTAACACTTCTGCATGCTCGGACTCAAACGAGTATCATCTGTGCTGACAAGAAGTGCAAACAGAGCGTGGAAAGTGCTGCAAAAGCCTGTGTCTTTTTTTGGTGACATCGTCTTGCATCCTGTCGACCTCGCGTGGCCGGAGCTACAAGGCATGTGCGCAAGAAGTCGACGCATCCGTCCATGTGGAAGTAAGCAACTTGCAGCCGAGAGGTTTGGAAAAATCATTTTCACAGCTCACCAAGATTGTTGGCAACCTCAACCCTCTTCCTGATGTCTACGCTTTCTGTCTTGCAGTCGATTCCTGCACACATTGTCCGCGTCACTATCGTTCCTGATTGTTTGCTAGCTTTCACTCGCTCATGTGTACCGCTGCAGTGGTTAATTGTGCTGTACTCTGCCAAGAGCAAAACACGATGGCTCAAAACTGACAAGCATACGTCCACACAAGTCTCACGTGCCGTGATACCTCTGACGCTGATGCGTGACGACTTTTTCAAGTGATAGAAAGAGTGCCACCCAAGATTGTCCGGTACATCCTAGCTCTCAGCTGGACCTCAGAAATCGTACAGCTACATCGCGGCAACTCGACAATCGCGCCACCCACGAATCTGGGATCGCGTGAAGCATTCTTGTACGATCGCCCGTATCTTCAAGATTGATCAAGACCGACATGGACTTGAGTCAACAACGCCGACAAAATTTTCTGCTAGTAATGCCGATGCAGGCTAATGCAAATCGTCCGACTGGGTGACGCAGAAGCATTATACATGGGGCAAATGAGCCAACGGATGGTATATTGCCGAGGTGTTGGCCCAATGCACACTATTAAGGGCCTATAGTCAAGCTGGGAACGAAGACTTTGGCCTTCTGACCGTACCACATTGTTTCCAGCCAAATGAGGAGATACGTAGAGTTGGCCAAACACCTTATGACTTAGCGCATACCTCCGAGCATATTTCATGTGCTTTGGCTGCTGCTTTCAGTGTAGGGTCGTCCAAGCTTAGCCACACCCCTGCATGCTCCTCATTAGTACCCGCGCACTCTACGAAGACCACTGCGAAGGTCTCAGTCGGAGATGCCTCTGCGGTACCAGATGCACTTCAGTAGGGGCCTCCGTTACATGATCCTTTAAACAAGATAATTATCAGGTATGAATTTCATGTTAGGACAAAGATTAAATTCTCACAAAATTGGCTTACTGAGCAACATTGTGTTGCAGAAGTAATACACTGCGCATTGGTTGATATAGATTAACGATATCAACCAATAAAGCCGAGCCACGACAGAAGAACGCAATTGTGGTGAGCAGATAGTTGCAATACATGTTTGCATTTAAATAGAGCTAAAAAAGACTAAAGAGGATTATTAACAGGAGATTGACCATACTAAATACAGCTCTACTTTCACCCCCTTTTCTCATGTTGAACCCTCCCTCTGCACGACGCGTGTACGTACAGTATCGTGGCACTACCGTACTCAGCGTTCAGTGTAAGTGGATCGTACTGTGACATTACAAGCGACCGGTGCTCCGTTACACCTGGTAGCACTTCGTAGTCCGTCCAACGACTGCGAACATGTTGGATTACGAAGCGGAGGACTCTCATCCAACGCACGAGAGGTACACCCATTTGAGTCATATCAAATGGATTTCAATTGAACCTTTGATCTCGACGATAGGACAAGAAGCTGTAGGCGCAATTCTGTCCGCTCTGGGTCCAGACGGGCAACACGCCACCATCGCCAAGCTCATTCAGAATAAACTTGACGCTACACGAAAATAGGTAGCCTTGCTTCACCAACAAGAGCCTTCGCATACAACGCTGTTAAGAAAACAGAGTGCTCAACAGCTCGTGTAGAGTAGCGGAGCTACCATAACGCCTTAGTCACTCGAAGATTTCTAGAATTGTAGAGCCTCTCAGCATATCAAACTATGCGAAAATTACCTTAAAGGGTCTCAAGTAGTGCATACTTGGTGAGACTTATCTCTAAGTACGTTTACAAGCTCGCAAGCTTCCAGTCCTGGTTCAGGGGACTCCAACTTCAAGGAATCACGTGAAATTAATGCCCAAGAATGCTTAGCCTTAACTCAAGCACTTAACTCTTACGATTAAGACATTTAAAGACGAAATGCACCTTAAACTGATCAAAAGGGAAACCTAAAAAATCTACTAATTTGTAGTGAGAAAAATCTCACTTACGCATTCAACTTTGCAACTAATTTACCCAATCGAACATCTCTCGTGAAGTTTCTTTAAATCTACCGCACCAGAATCATGTCGTCCTTTAAGGACCATATTACGATAAAAATCATCTATTCATAACTACTAATGTATGGTTTTACCGCTTATAGTATGTGAGACAATGCTGTTTAAATTTTTTTTTATCACACCAGCGCACCTGGACAAACAACATTTGTGTAGCCCCGTAACAACTAATGCAATGAATTAGTGAAATTTTGTAAAGATGATGCGGCTTTTGCGTCAGTGTGGTGGAGTGGGATTCGCTCATTTACGTAGCAATCCTGACTCCCCACCTGCGCCCGGACGACAGACTAACGGAGGGGGTACTCCGGACCGTGTGTCGTATCTTGTCTTGTTCCTTCTCACCTTGTGTACCCGTCGGCGGGCGGTTGCACTCTTCTAGGTGTCTTGAGATCGATGTCTTGTCTTGACCGAGTTGAGGATAGTTGGGGTGTGGTCGCGTGGTAATTCTTCACACGACCAACGGTTACTGGTGGCACTCTCCTAGAGTTGCCTGACCTTCCTTGATGTCGCCTTGCCCAAATGTGGATACTTGATCCCCCTTGTTCTTCTGACCACTTGATCACCTTGTCCTTCTGATCACTTGAGCCGTCTGAAGACCTTGCCTTGTATGCTTGCCGCGTCCGATCGCGGGCTAACTTGAATGAGTATACTTGCCCCTAGCCAAGCAATCTAGGGACAAACCTTGAGCAAACACGCAGACAGTAAACCTTGTACGTCGGGTGGCCACTAGTATTCCAGCCCGGAGGAATGCTGACGCGTGTCTTTTGTAGGAAAATTAGTACTGTTCGTTATTAACCTGTTAGGGCTAGAACTACGTTTACACTTCTATTATCTCAGTTTTATGTTACGATGTTCGCCTGCCACCACCCGTTCCCTGTGCTTGAAACAAACCACCTTAACTGCCAGCATGACCGCTGGTCACCCATCGTGACCGTGACCACTGGCCACACATCGTGACCATGACCACTGGTCGCCCATCGTGACCATGACCACTGGTCACTCATCGTGACTATGACCGGTCAGTCATTCGTCGTGACCCTAACCGGTGGTCATAATCGGTGACCGCCACTGATGACTTGCAAACCGTCCTGCTTATCGTTGGGGATTTCTGTAGCGGTCAATCCCAAGACCTTCAAGACCGGTCCCACATGCACTTACGAGATGATTACGGCGATTAATCGGGATTTCCTTTGACCACATCACCACAGTCGTCCCCTGCTCTGTTAGTCGGCAGCCGGTGCCGATCTGGCTGAGCCCTTTTTGTCTGCCTTCCCCTGATCATTGCTGAAAATGTCGCCTCCATCTCACCCGGCCGTTGAATAATCCCTACCTTCGGGTTCGACGTCTCCTCAGCTGACTCCGCTGCGGTCGGCCACTCCTGCTCCTGATGACGAAGATCACACTGGCCTTGAACCAGACGCGACCGAGCCTGACCAAGCCGGCCTCGCTCCGGCTGGCCACCTCGCCGACCCTGTTGGGTTTTAGGTCGGATCTGATTACGCCCCGGTGGACGATGCCTCTTCTGCCGATGCTGATCCTGCCGATGCTGACGTGGGTAGCGACCCAATGCGTAACTTGGACACTTCCGAGCCTGACCAAGCCAGCTCCGCTCCGGCTGACCACCTTGCCGACCCTGTTGGCTTTTCGGTCGGATCTGATGACGCCCCGGCGGACGATGCCTCTTCTGCCGATGCTGATCCTGCCGATGCTGACGTGGGTAGCGACCCAATGCGTAACTTGGACACTTCCGAGCCTGACCAAGCCAGCTCCGCTCCGGCTGACCACCTTGCCGACCCTGTTGGCTTTTCGGTCGGATCTGATGACGCCCCGGCGGACGATGCCTCTTCTGCCGATGCTGATACTGCCGATGCTGACGTGGGTAGCGACCCAATGCGTAACTTGGACACAGCCGAGCCTGACCAAGCCAGCTCCGCTCCGGCTGACCACCTTGCCGACCCTGTTGGCTTTTCGGTCGGATCTGATGACGCCCCGGCGGACGATGCCTCTTCTGCCGATGCTGATACTGCCGATGCTGACGTGGGTAGCGACCCAATGCGTAACTTGGACACTGCCGAGCCTGACCAAGCCAGCTCCGCTCCGGCTGACCACCTTGCCGACCCTGTTGGCTGTTCGGTCAGATCTGATGACGCCCCGGCGGACGATGCCTCTTCTGCCGATGCTGATCCTGCCGATGCTGACGTGGGTAGCGACCCAATGCGTAACTTGGACACTGCCGAGCCTGACCAAGCCAGCTCCGCTCCGGCTAACCACCTTGCCGACCCTGTTGGCTTTTCGGTCGGATCTATTAACGCCCCGGCGGACGATGCCTCTTCTGCCGATGCTGATCCTGCCGATGCTGACGTGGGTAGCGACCCAATGCGTAACTTGGACACTGCCGAGCCTGACCAAGCCAGCTCCGCTCCGGCTGACCACCTTGCCGACCCTGTTGGCTTTTCGGTCGGATCTGATGACGCCCCGGCGGACGATGCCTCTTCTGCCGATGCTGATACTGCCGATGCTGACGTGGGTAGCGACCCAATGCGTAACTTGGACACAGCCGAGCCTGACCAAGCCAGCCCCGCTCCGGCTGACCACCTTGCTGACCCTGTTGGCTGTTCGGTCGGATCTGATGACGCCCCGGCGGACGATGCCTCTTCTGCCGATGCTGATCCTGCCGATGCTGACGTGGGTAGCGACCCAATGCGTAACTTGGACACTGCCGAGCCTGACCAATCCAGCTCCGCTCCGGCTGACCACCTTGCCGACCCTGTTGGCTGTTCGGTCGGATCTGATGACGCCCCGGCGGACGATGCCTCTTCTGCCGATGCTGATACTGCCGATGCTGACGTGGGTAGCGACCCAATGCGTAACTTGGACACTGCCGAGCCTGACCAAGCCAGCTCCGCTCCGGCTGACCACCTTGCCGACCCTGTTGGCTTTTCGGTCGGATCTGATGACGCCCCGGCGGACGATGCCTCTTCTGCCGATGCTGACGTGGGTAGCGACCCAATGCGTAACTTGGACACTGCCGGGCCTGACCAAGCCAGCCCCGCTCCGGCTGACCACCTCGCCGACCCTGTTGGCTGTTCGGTCGGATCTGATGACGCCCCGGCGGACGATGCCTCTTCTGCCGATGCTGATCCTGCCGATGCTGACGTGGGTAGCGACCCAATGCGTAACTTGGACACTGCCGAGCCTGACCAAGCCAGCTCCGCTCCGGCTGACCACCTTGCCGACCCTGTTGGCTTTTCGGTCGGATCTGATGACGCCCCGGCGGACGATGCCTCTTCTGCCGATGCTGATCCTGCCGATGCTGACGTGGGTAGCGACCCAATGCGTAACTTGGACACTGCCGAGCCTGACCAAGCCAGCCCCGCTCCGGCTGACCACCTTGCCGACCCTGTTGGCTTTTCGGTCGGATCTGATGACGCCCCGGCGGACGATGCCTCTTCTGCCGATGCTGATCCTGCCGATGCTGACGTGGGTAGCGATCCAATGCGTAACTTGGACACAGCCGAGCCTGACCAAGCCAGCTCCGCTCCGGCTGACCACCTTGCCGACCCTGTTGGCTTTTCGGTCGGATCTGATGACGCCCCGGCGGACGATGCCTCTTCTGCCGATGCTGATCCTGCCGATGCTGACGTGGGTAGCGATCCAATGCGTAACTTGGACACAGCCGAGCCTGACCAAGCCAGCCCCGCTCCGGCTGACCACCTTGCCGACCCTGTTGGCTTTTCGGTCGGATCTGATGACGCCCCGGCGGACGATGCCTCTTCTGCCGATGCTGATCCTGCCGATGCTGACGTGGGTAGTGATCCAATGCGTAACTTGGACACAGCCGAGCCTGACCAAGCCAGCTCCGCTCCGGCTGACCACCTTGCCGACCCTGTTGACTTTTCGGTCGGATCTGATGACGCCCCGGCGGACGATGCCTCTTCTGCCGATGCTGATCCTGCCGATGCTGACGTGGGTAGCGATCCAATGCGTAACTTGGACACAGCCGAGCCTGACCAAGCCAGCCCCGCTCCGGCTGACCACCTTGCCGACCCTGTTGGCTTTTCGGTCGGATCTAATAACGCCCCGGCGGACGATGCCTCTTCTGCCGATGCTGATCCTGCCGATGCTGACGTGGGTAGTGATCCAATGCGTAACTTGGACACAGCCGAGCCTGACCAAGCCAGCTCCGCTCCGGCTGACCACCTTGCCGACCCTGTTGACTTTTCGGTCGGATCTGATGACGCCCCGGCGGACGATGCCTCTTCTGCCGATGCTGATCCTGCCGATGCTGACGTGGGTAGCGACCCAATGCGTAACTTGGACACAGCCGAGCCTGACCAAGCCAGCTCCGCTCCGGCTGACCACCTTGCCGACCCTGTTGGCTTTTCGGTCGGATCTGATGACGCCCCGGCGGACGATGCCTCTTCTGCCGATGCTGATCCTGCCGATGCTGACGTGGGTAGCGACCCAATGCGTAACTTGGACACTGCCGAGCCTGACCAAGCCAGCCCCGCTCCGGCTGACCACCTCGCCGACCCTGTTGGCTGTTCGGTCGGATCTAATAACGCCCCGGCGGACGATGCCTCTTCTGCCGATGCTGATCCTGCCGATGCTGACGTGGGTAGTGATCCAATGCGTAACTTGGACACAGCCGAGCCTGACCAAGCCAGCTCCGCTCCGGCTGACCACCTTGCCGACCCTGTTGGCTTTTCGGTCGGATCTGATGACGCCCCGGCGGACGATGCCTCTTCTGCCGATGCTGATCCTGCCGATGCTGACGTGGGTAGCGACCCAATGCGTAACTTGGACACTGCCGAGCCTGACCAAGCCAGCCCCGCTCCGGCTGACCACCTTGCCGACCCTGTTGGCTGTTCGGTCGGATCTGATGACGCCCCGGCGGACGATGCCTCTTCTGCCGATGCTGATCCTGCCGATGCTGACGTGGGTAGCGACCCAATGCGTAACTTGGACACTGCCGAGCCTGACCAAGCCAGCTCCGCTCCGGCTGACCACCTTGCCGACCCTGTTGGCTTTTCGGTCGGATCTGATGACGCCCCGGCGGACAATGCCTCTTCTGCCGATGCTGATCCTGCCGATGCTGACGTGGGTAGCGACCCAATGCGTAACTTGGACACTGCCGAGCCTGACCAAGCCAGCTCCGCTCCGGCTGACCACCTTGCCGACCCTGTTGGCTGTTCGGTCGGATCTGATGACGCCCCGGCGGACGATGCCTCTTCTGCCGATGCTGATCCTGCCGATGCTGACGTGGGTAGCGACCCAATGCGTAACTTGGACACTGCCGAGCCTGACCAAGCCAGCTCCGCTCCGGCTGACCACCTTGCCGACCCTGTTGGCTGTTCGGTCGGATCTGATGACGCCCCGGCGGACGATGCCTCTTCTGCCGATGCTGATCCTGCCGATGCTGACGTGGGTAGCGACCCAATGCGTAACTTGGACACTGCCGAGCCTGACCAAGCCAGCTCCGCTCCGGCTGACCACCTTGCCGACCCTGTTGGCTGTTCGGTCGGATCTGATGACGCCCCGGCGGACGATGCCTCTTCTGCCGATGCTGATCCTGCCGATGCTGACGTGGGTAGCGACCCAATGCGTAACTTGGACACTGCCGAGCCTGACCAAGCCAGCTCCGCTCCGGCTGACCACCTTGCCGACCCTGTTGGCTTTTCGGTCGGATCTGATGACGCCCCGGCGGACGATGCCTCTTCTGCCGATGCTGATCCTGCCGATGCTGACGTGGGTAGCGACCCAATGCGTAACTTGGACACTGCCGAGCCTGACCAAGCCAGCTCCGCTCCGGCTGACCACCTTGCCGACCCTGTTGGCTGTTCGGTCGGATCTGATGACGCCCCGGCGGACGATGCCTCTTCTGCCGATGCTGATCCTGCCGATGCTGACGTGGGTAGCGACCCAATGCGTAACTTGGACACTGCCGAGCCTGACCAAGCCAGCTCCGCTCCGGCTGACCACCTTGCCGACCCTGTTGGCTGTTCGGTCGGATCTGATGACGCCCCGGCGGACGATGCCTCTTCTGCCGATGCTGATCCTGCCGATGCTGACGTGGGTAGCGACCCAATGCGTAACTTGGACACTGCCGAGCCTGACCAAGCCAGCTCCGCTCCGGCTGACCACCTTGCCGACCCTGTTGGCTGTTCGGTCGGATCTGATGACGCCCCGGCGGACGATGCCTCTTCTGCCGATGCTGATCCTGCCGATGCTGACGTGGGTAGCGACCCAATGCGTAACTTGGACACTGCCGAGCCTGACCAAGCCAGCTCCGCTCCGGCTGACCACCTTGCCGACCCTGTTGGCTTTTCGGTCGGATCTGATGACGCCCCGGCGGACGATGCCTCTTCTGCCGATGCTGATACTGCCGATGCTGACGTGGGTAGCGACCCAATGCGTAACTTGGACACTGCCGAGCCTGACCAAGCCAGCTCCGCTCCGGCTGACCACCTTGCCGACCCTGTTGGCTGTTCGGTCGGATCTGATGACGCCCCGGCGGACGATGCCTCTTCTGCCGATGCTGATCCTGCCGATGCTGACGTGGGTAGCGACCCAATGCGTAACTTGGACACTGCCGAGCCTGACCAAGCCAGCTCCGCTCCGGCTGACCACCTTGCCGACCCTGTTGGCTTTTCGGTCGGATCTGATGACGCCCCGGCGGACGATGCCTCTTCTGCCGATGCTGATCCTGCCGATGCTGACGTGGGTAGCGACCCAATGCGTAACTTGGACACTGCCGAGCCTGACCAAGCCAGCTCCGCTCCGGCTGACCACCTTGCCGACCCTGTTGGCTGTTCGGTCGGATCTGATGACGCCCCGGCGGACGATGCCTCTTCTGCCGATGCTGATCCTGCCGATGCTGACGTGGGTAGCGACCCAATGCGTAACTTGGACACTGCCGAGCCTGACCAAGCCAGCTCCGCTCCGGCTGACCACCTTGCCGACCCTGTTGGCTGTTCGGTCGGATCTGATGACGCCCCGGCGGACGATGCCTCTTCTGCCGATGCTGATCCTGCCGATGCTGACGTGGGTAGCGACCCAATGCGTAACTTGGACACTGCCGAGCCTGACCAAGCCAGCTCCGCTCCGGCTGACCACCTTGCCGACCCTGTTGGCTGTTCGGTCGGATCTGATGACGCCCCGGCGGACGATGCCTCTTCTGCCGATGCTGATCCTGCCGATGCTGACGTGGGTAGCGACCCAATGCGTAACTTGGACACTGCCGAGCCTGACCAAGCCAGCTCCGCTCCGGCTGACCACCTTGCCGACCCTGTTGGCTTTTCGGTCGGATCTGATGACGCCCCGGCGGACGATGCCTCTTCTGCCGATGCTGATCCTGCCGATGCTGACGTGGGTAGCGACCCAATGCGTAACTTGGACACTGCCGAGCCTGACCAAGCCAGCTCCGCTCCGGCTGACCACCTTGCCGACCCTGTTGGCTGTTCGGTCGGATCTGATGACGCCCCGGCGGACGATGCCTCTTCTGCCGATGCTGATCCTGCCGATGCTGACGTGGGTAGCGACCCAATGCGTAACTTGGACACTGCCGAGCCTGACCAAGCCAGCTCCGCTCCGGCTGACCACCTTGCCGACCCTGTTGGCTTTTCGGTCGGATCTGATGACGCCCCGGCGGACGATGCCTCTTCTGCCGATGCTGATCCTGCCGATGCTGACGTGGGTAGCGACCCAATGCGTAACTTGGACACTGCCGAGCCTGACCAAGCCAGCTCCGCTCCGGCTGACCACCTTGCCGACCCTGTTGGCTTTTCGGTCGGATCTGATGACGCCCCGGCGGACGATGCCTCTTCTGCCGATGCTGATCCTGCCGATGCTGACGTGGGTAGCGACCCAATGCGTAACTTGGACACTGCCGAGCCTGACCAAGCCAGCTCCGCTCCGGCTGACCACCTTGCCGACCCTGTTGGCTGTTCGGTCGGATCTGATGACGCCCCGGCGGACGATGCCTCTTCTGCCGATGCTGATCCTGCCGATGCTGACGTGGGTAGCGACCCAATGCGTAACTTGGACACTGCCGAGCCTGACCAAGCCAGCTCCGCTCCGGCTGACCACCTTGCCGACCCTGTTGGCTTTTCGGTCGGATCTGATGACGCCCCGGCGGACGATGCCTCTTCTGCCGATGCTGATCCTGCCGATGCTGACGTGGGTAGCGACCCAATGCGTAACTTGGACACTGCCGAGCCTGACCAAGCCAGCTCCGCTCCGGCTGACCACCTTGCCGACCCTGTTGGCTTTTCGGTCGGATCTGATGACGCCCCGGCGGACGATGCCTCTTCTGCCGATGCTGATCCTGCCGATGCTGACGTGGGTAGCGACCCAATGCGTAACTTGGACACTGCCGAGCCTGACCAAGCCAGCTCCGCTCCGGCTGACCACCTTGCCGACCCTGTTGGCTGTTCGGTCGGATCTGATGACGCCCCGGCGGACGATGCCTCTTCTGCCGATGCTGATCCTGCCGATGCTGACGTGGGTAGCGACCCAATGCGTAACTTGGACACTGCCGAGCCTGACCAAGCCAGCTCCGCTCCGGCTGACCACCTTGCCGACCCTGTTGGCTTTTCGGTCGGATCTGATGACGCCCCGGCGGACGATGCCTCTTCTGCCGATGCTGATCCTGCCGATGCTGACGTGGGTAGCGACCCAATGCGTAACTTGGACACTGCCGAGCCTGACCAAGCCAGCTCCGCTCCGGCTGACCACCTTGCCGACCCTGTTGGCTGTTCGGTCGGATCTGATGACGCCCCGGCGGACGATGCCTCTTCTGCCGATGCTGATCCTGCCGATGCTGACGTGGGTAGCGACCCAATGCGTAACTTGGACACTGCCGAGCCTGACCAAGCCAGCTCCGCTCCGGCTGACCACCTTGCCGACCCTGTTGGCTTTTCGGTCGGATCTGATGACGCCCCGGCGGACGATGCCTCTTCTGCCGATGCTGATCCTGCCGATGCTGACGTGGGTAGCGACCCAATGCGTAACTTGGACACTGCCGAGCCTGACCAAGCCAGCTCCGCTCCGGCTGACCACCTTGCCGACCCTGTTGGCTGTTCGGTCGGATCTGATGACGCCCCGGCGGACGATGCCTCTTCTGCCGATGCTGATCCTGCCGATGCTGACGTGGGTAGCGACCCAATGCGTAACTTGGACACTGCCGAGCCTGACCAAGCCAGCTCCGCTCCGGCTGACCACCTTGCCGACCCTGTTGGCTTTTCGGTCGGATCGGATGACGCCCCGGCGGACGATGCCTCTTCTGCCGATGCTGATCCTGCCGATGCTGACGTGGGTAGCGACCCAATGCGTAACTTGGACACTGCCGAGCCTGACCAAGCCAGCTCCGCTCCGGCTGACCACCTTGCCGACCCTGTTGGCTTTTCGGTCGGATCTGATGACGCCCCGGCGGACGATGCCTCTTCTGCCGATGCTGATCCTGCCGATGCTGACGTGGGTAGCGACCCAATGCGTAACTTGGACACTGCCGAGCCTGACCAAGCCAGCTCCGCTCCGGCTGACCACCTTGCCGACCCTGTTGGCTGTTCGGTCGGATCTGATGACGCCCCGGCGGACGATGCCTCTTCTGCCGATGCTGATCCTGCCGATGCTGACGTGGGTAGCGACCCAATGCGTAACTTGGACACTGCCGAGCCTGACCAAGCCAGCTCCGCTCCGGCTGACCACCTTGCCGACCCTGTTGGCTGTTCGGTCGGATCTGATGACGCCCCGGCGGACGATGCCTCTTCTGCCGATGCTGATCCTGCCGATGCTGACGTGGGTAGCGACCCAATGCGTAACTTGGACACTGCCGAGCCTGACCAAGCCAGCTCCGCTCCGGCTGACCACCTTGCCGACCCTGTTGGCTTTTCGGTCGGATCTGATGACGCCCCGGCGGACGATGCCTCTTCTGCCGATGCTGATCCTGCCGATGCTGACGTGGGTAGCGACCCAATGCGTAACTTGGACACTGCCGAGCCTGACCAAGCCAGCTCCGCTCCGGCTGACCACCTTGCCGACCCTGTTGGCTTTTCGGTCGGATCTGATGACGCCCCGGCGGACGATGCCTCTTCTGCCGATGCTGATCCTGCCGATGCTGACGTGGGTAGCGACCCAATGCGTAACTTGGACACTGCCGAGCCTGACCAAGCCAGCTCCGCTCCGGCTGACCACCTTGCCGACCCTGTTGGCTTTTCGGTCGGATCTGATGACGCCCCGGCGGACGATGCCTCTTCTGCCGATGCTGATACTGCCGATGCTGACGTGGGTAGCGACCCAATGCGTAACTTGGACACTGCCGAGCCTGACCAAGCCAGCTCCGCTCCGGCTGACCACCTTGCCGACCCTGTTGGCTTTTCGGTCGGATCTGATGACGCCCCGGCGGACGATGCCTCTTCTGCCGATGCTGATCCTGCCGATGCTGACGTGGGTAGCGACCCAATGCGTAACTTGGACACTGCCGAGCCTGACCAAGCCAGCTCCGCTCCGGCTGACCACCTTGCCGACCCTGTTGGCTTTTCGGTCGGATCTGATGACGCCCCGGCGGACGATGCCTCTTCTGCCGATGCTGATCCTGCCGATGCTGACGTGGGTAGCGACCCAATGCGTAACTTGGACACTGCCGAGCCTGACCAAGCCAGCTCCGCTCCGGCTGACCACCTTGCCGACCCTGTTGGCTGTTCGGTCGGATCTGATGACGCCCCGGCGGACGATGCCTCTTCTGCCGATGCTGATCCTGCCGATGCTGACGTGGGTAGCGACCCAATGCGTAACTTGGACACTGCCGAGCCTGACCAAGCCAGCTCCGCTCCGGCTGACCACCTTGCCGACCCTGTTGGCTTTTCGGTCGGATCTGATGACGCCCCGGCGGACGATGCCTCTTCTGCCGATGCTGATCCTGCCGATGCTGACGTGGGTAGCGACCCAATGCGTAACTTGGACACTGCCGAGCCTGACCAAGCCAGCTCCGCTCCGGCTGACCACCTTGCCGACCCTGTTGGCTGTTCGGTCGGATCTGATGACGCCCCGGCGGACGATGCCTCTTCTGCCGATGCTGATCCTGCCGATGCTGACGTGGGTAGCGACCCAATGCGTAACTTGGACACTGCCGAGCCTGACCAAGCCAGCTCCGCTCCGGCTGACCACCTTGCCGACCCTGTTGGCTGTTCGGTCGGATCTGATGACGCCCCGGCGGACGATGCCTCTTCTGCCGATGCTGATCCTGCCGATGCTGACGTGGGTAGCGACCCAATGCGTAACTTGGACACTGCCGAGCCTGACCAAGCCAGCTCCGCTCCGGCTGACCACCTTGCCGACCCTGTTGGCTTTTCGGTCGGATCTGATGACGCCCCGGCGGACGATGCCTCTTCTGCCGATGCTGATCCTGCCGATGCTGACGTGGGTAGCGACCCAATGCGTAACTTGGACACTGCCGAGCCTGACCAAGCCAGCTCCGCTCCGGCTGACCACCTTGCCGACCCTGTTGGCTTTTCGGTCGGATCTGATGACGCCCCGGCGGACGATGCCTCTTCTGCCGATGCTGATCCTGCCGATGCTGACGTGGGTAGCGACCCAATGCGTAACTTGGACACTGCCGAGCCTGACCAAGCCAGCTCCGCTCCAGCTGACCACCTTGCCGACCCTGTTGGCTTTTCGGTCGGATCTGATGACGCCCCGGCGGACGATGCCTCTTCTGCCGATGCTGATCCTGCCGATGCTGACGTGGGTAGCGACCCAATGCGTAACTTGGACACTGCCGAGCCTGACCAAGCCAGCTCCGCTCCGGCTGACCACCTTGCCGACCCTGTTGGCTTTTCGGTCGGATCTGATGACGCCCCGGCGGACGATGCCTCTTCTGCCGATGCTGATCCTGCCGATGCTGACGTGGGTAGCGACCCAATGCGTAACTTGGACACTGCCGAGCCTGACCAAGCCAGCTCCGCTCCGGCTGACCACCTTGCCGACCCTGTTGGCTTTTCGGTCGGATCTGATGACGCCCCGGCGGACGATGCCTCTTCTGCCGATGCTGATCCTGCCGATGCTGACGTGGGTAGCGACCCAATGCGTAACTTGGACACTGCCGAGCCTGACCAAGCCAGCCCCGCTCCAGCTGACCACCTCGCCGACCCTGTTGGCTGTTCGGTCGGATCTGATGACGCCCCGGCGGACGATGCCTCTTCTGCCGATGCTGATACTGCCGATGCTGACGTGGGTAGCGACCCAATGCGTAACTTGGACACTGCCGAGCCTGACCAAGCCAGCTCCGCTCCGGCTGACCACCTTGCCGACCCTGTTGGCTTTTCGGTCGGATCTGATGACGCCCCGGCGGACGATGCCTCTTCTGCCGATGCTGATCCTGCCGATGCTGACGTGGGTAGCGACCCAATGCGTAACTTGGACACTGCCGAGCCTGACCAAGCCAGCTCCGCTCCGGCTGACCACCTTGCCGACCCTGTTGGCTTTTCGGTCGGATCTGATGACGCCCCGGCGGACGATGCCTCTTCTGCCGATGCTGATCCTGCCGATGCTGACGTGGGTAGCGACCCAATGCGTAACTTGGACACTGCCGAGCCTGACCAAGCCAGCTCCGCTCCGGCTGACCACCTTGCCGACCCTGTTGGCTTTTCGGTCGGATCTGATGACGCCCCGGCGGACGATGCCTCTTCTGCCGATGCTGATCCTGCCGATGCTGACGTGGGTAGCGACCCAATGCGTAACTTGGACACTGCCGAGCCTGACCAAGCCAGCTCCGCTCCGGCTGACCACCTTGCCGACCCTGTTGGCTTTTCGGTCGGATCTGATGACGCCCCGGCGGACGATGCCTCTTCTGCCGATGCTGATCCTGCCGATGCTGACGTGGGTAGCGACCCAATGCGTAACTTGGACACTGCCGAGCCTGACCAAGCCAGCTCCGCTCCGGCTGACCACCTTGCCGACCCTGTTGGCTTTTCGGTCGGATCTGATGACGCCCCGGCGGACGATGCCTCTTCTGCCGATGCTGATCCTGCCGATGCTGACGTGGGTAGCGACCCAATGCGTAACTTGGACACTGCCGAGCCTGACCAAGCCAGCTCCGCTCCGGCTGACCACCTTGCCGACCCTGTTGGCTTTTCGGTCGGATCTGATGACGCCCCGGCGGACGATGCCTCTTCTGCCGATGCTGATCCTGCCGATGCTGACGTGGGTAGCGACCCAATGCGTAACTTGGACACTGCCGAGCCTGACCAAGCCAGCTCCGCTCCGGCTGACCACCTTGCCGACCCTGTTGGCTGTTCGGTCGGATCTGATGACGCCCCGGCGGACGATGCCTCTTCTGCCGATGCTGATCCTGCCGATGCTGACGTGGGTAGCGACCCAATGCGTAACTTGGACACTGCCGAGCCTGACCAAGCCAGCTCCGCTCCGGCTGACCACCTTGCCGACCCTGTTGGCTGTTCGGTCGGATCTGATGACGCCCCGGCGGACGATGCCTCTTCTGCCGATGCTGATCCTGCCGATGCTGACGTGGGTAGCGACCCAATGCGTAACTTGGACACTGCCGAGCCTGACCAAGCCAGCTCCGCTCCGGCTGACCACCTTGCCGACCCTGTTGGCTTTTCGGTCGGATCTGATGACGCCCCGGCGGACGATGCCTCTTCTGCCGATGCTGATCCTGCCGATGCTGACGTGGGTAGCGACCCAATGCGTAACTTGGACACTGCCGAGCCTGACCAAGCCAGCTCCGCTCCAGCTGACCACCTCGCCGACCCTGTTGGCTGTTCGGTCGGATCTGATGACGCCCCGGCGGACGATGCCTCTTCTGCCGATGCTGATCCTGCCGATGCTGACGTGGGTAGCGACCCAATGCGTAACTTGGACACTGCCGAGCCTGACCAAGCCAGCTCCGCTCCGGCTGACCACCTTGCCGACCCTGTTGGCTTTTCGGTCGGATCTGATGACGCCCCGGCGGACAATGCCTCTTCTGCCGATGCTGATCCTGCCGATGCTGACGTGGGTAGCGACCCAATGCGTAACTTGGACACTGCCGAGCCTGACCAAGCCAGCTCCGCTCCGGCTGACCACCTTGCCGACCCTGTTGGCTTTTCGGTCGGATCTGATGACGCCCCGGCGGACGATGCCTCTTCTGCCGATGCTGATCCTGCCGATGCTGACGTGGGTAGCGACCCAATGCGTAACTTGGACACTGCCGAGCCTGACCAAGCCAGCTCCGCTCCGGCTGACCACCTTGCCGACCCTGTTGGCTTTTCGGTCGGATCTGATGACGCCCCGGCGGACGATGCCTCTTCTGCCGATGCTGATACTGCCGATGCTGACGTGGGTAGCGACCCAATGCGTAACTTGGACACTGCCGAGCCTGACCAAGCCAGCTCCGCTCCGGCTGACCACCTTGCCGACCCTGTTGGCTTTTCGGTCGGATCTGATGACGCCCCGGCGGACGATGCCTCTTCTGCCGATGCTGATCCTGCCGATGCTGACGTGGGTAGCGACCCAATGCGTAACTTGGACACTGCCGAGCCTGACCAAGCCAGCTCCGCTCCGGCTGACCACCTTGCCGACCCTGTTGGCTTTTCGGTCGGATCTGATGACGCCCCGGCGGACGATGCCTCTTCTGCCGATGCTGATCCTGCCGATGCTGACGTGGGTAGCGACCCAATGCGTAACTTGGACACTGCCGAGCCTGACCAAGCCAGCTCCGCTCCAGCTGACCACCTTGCCGACCCTGTTGGCTTTTCGGTCGGATCTGATGACGCCCCGGCGGACGATGCCTCTTCTGCCGATGCTGATCCTGCCGATGCTGACGTGGGTAGCGACCCAATGCGTAACTTGGACACTGCCGAGCCTGACCAAGCCAGCTCCGCTCCGGCTGACCACCTTGCCGACCCTGTTGGCTTTTCGGTCGGATCTGATGACGCCCCGGCGGACGATGCCTCTTCTGCCGATGCTGATCCTGCCGATGCTGACGTGGGTAGCGACCCAATGCGTAACTTGGACACTGCCGAGCCTGACCAAGCCAGCTCCGCTCCGGCTGACCACCTTGCCGACCCTGTTGGCTTTTCGGTCGGATCTGATGACGCCCCGGCGGACGATGCCTCTTCTGCCGATGCTGATCCTGCCGATGCTGACGTGGGTAGCGACCCAATGCGTAACTTGGACACTGCCGAGCCTGACCAAGCCAGCTCCGCTCCGGCTGACCACCTTGCCGACCCTGTTGGCTTTTCGGTCGGATCTGATGACGCCCCGGCGGACGATGCCTCTTCTGCCGATGCTGATCCTGCCGATGCTGACGTGGGTAGCGACCCAATGCGTAACTTGGACACTGCCGAGCCTGACCAAGCCAGCTCCGCTCCAGCTGACCACCTTGCCGACCCTGTTGGCTTTTCGGTCGGATCTGATGACGCCCCGGCGGACGATGCCTCTTCTGCCGATGCTGATCCTGCCGATGCTGACGTGGGTAGCGACCCAATGCGTAACTTGGACACTGCCGAGCCTGACCAAGCCAGCTCCGCTCCGGCTGACCACCTTGCCGACCCTGTTGGCTTTTCGGTCGGATCTGATGACGCCCCCGGCGGACGATGCCTCTTCTGCCGATGCTGATCCTGCCGATGCTGACGTGGGTAGCGACCCAATGCGTAACTTGGACACTGCCGAGCCTGACCAAGCCAGCTCCGCTCCGGCTGACCACCTTGCCGACCCTGTTGGCTTTTCGGTCGGATCTGATGACGCCCCGGCGGACGATGCCTCTTCTGCCGATGCTGATCCTGCCGATGCTGACGTGGGTAGCGACCCAATGCGTAACTTGGACACTGCCGAGCCTGACCAAGCCAGCTCCGCTCCGGCTGACCACCTTGCCGACCCTGTTGGCTTTTCGGTCGGATCTGATGACGCCCCGGCGGACGATGCCTCTTCTGCCGATGCTGATCCTGCCGATGCTGACGTGGGTAGCGACCCAATGCGTAACTTGGACACTGCCGAGCCTGACCAAGCCAGCTCCGCTCCGGCTGACCACCTTGCCGACCCTGTTGGCTTTTCGGTCGGATCTGATGACGCCCCGGCGGACGATGCCTCTTCTGCCGATGCTGATCCTGCCGATGCTGACGTGGGTAGCGACCCAATGCGTAACTTGGACACTGCCGAGCCTGACCAAGCCAGCTCCGCTCCGGCTGACCACCTTGCCGACCCTGTTGGCTTTTCGGTCGGATCTGATGACGCCCCGGCGGACGATGCCTCTTCTGCCGATGCTGATCCTGCCGATGCTGACGTGGGTAGCGACCCAATGCGTAACTTGGACACTGCCGAGCCTGACCAAGCCAGCTCCGCTCCGGCTGACCACCTTGCCGACCCTGTTGGCTTTTCGGTCGGATCTGATGACGCCCCGGCGGACGATGCCTCTTCTGCCGATGCTGATCCTGCCGATGCTGACGTGGGTAGCGACCCAATGCGTAACTTGGACACTGCCGAGCCTGACCAAGCCAGCTCCGCTCCGGCTGACCACCTTGCCGACCCTGTTGGCTTTTCGGTCGGATCTGATGACGCCCCGGCGGACGATGCCTCTTCTGCCGATGCTGATCCTGCCGATGCTGACGTGGGTAGCGACCCAATGCGTAACTTGGACACAGCCGAGCCTGACCAAGCCAGCCCCGCTCCGGCTGACCACCTCGCCGACCCTGTTGGCTTTTCGGTCGGATCTGATGACGCCCCGGCGGACGATGCCTCTTCTGCCGATGCTGATCCTGCCGATGCTGACGTGGGTAACGACCCAATGCGTAACTTGGACACTGCCGAGCCTGACCAAGCCAGCTCCGCTCCGGCTGACCACCTTGCCGACCCTGTTGGCTTTTCGGTCGGATCTGATGACGCCCCGGCGGACGATGCCTCTTCTGCCGATGCTGATACTGCCGATGCTGACGTGGGTAGCGACCCAATGCGTAACTTGGACACTGCCGAGCCTGACCAAGCCAGCTCCGCTCCGGCTGACCACCTTGCCGACCCTGTTGGCTTTTCGGTCGGATCTGATGACGCCCCGGCGGACGATGCCTCTTCTGCCGATGCTGATCCTGCCGATGCTGACGTGGGTAGCGACCCAATGCGTAACTTGGACACTGCCGAGCCTGACCAAGCCAGCTCCGCTCCGGCTGACCACCTTGCCGACCCTGTTGGCTTTTCGGTCGGATCTGATGACGCCCCGGCGGACGATGCCTCTTCTGCCGATGCTGATCCTGCCGATGCTGACGTGGGTAGCGACCCAATGCGTAACTTGGACACTGCCGAGCCTGACCAAGCCAGCTCCGCTCCGGCTGACCACCTTGCCGACCCTGTTGGCTTTTCGGTCGGATCTGATGACGCCCCGGCGGACGATGCCTCTTCTGCCGATGCTGATCCTGCCGATGCTGACGTGGGTAGCGACCCAATGCGTAACTTGGACACTGCCGAGCCTGACCAAGCCAGCTCCGCTCCGGCTGACCACCTTGCCGACCCTGTTGGCTTTTCGGTCGGATCTGATGACGCCCCGGCGGACGATGCCTCTTCTGCCGATGCTGATCCTGCCGATGCTGACGTGGGTAGCGACCCAATGCGTAACTTGGACACTGCCGAGCCTGACCAAGCCAGCTCCGCTCCGGCTGACCACCTTGCCGACCCTGTTGGCTTTTCGGTCGGATCTGATGACGCCCCGGCGGACGATGCCTCTTCTGCCGATGCTGATCCTGCCGATGCTGACGTGGGTAGCGACCCAATGCGTAACTTGGACACTGCCGAGCCTGACCAAGCCAGCTCCGCTCCGGCTGACCACCTTGCCGACCCTGTTGGCTTTTCGGTCGGATCTGATGACGCCCCGGCGGACGATGCCTCTTCTGCCGATGCTGATCCTGCCGATGCTGACGTGGGTAGCGACCCAATGCGTAACTTGGACACTGCCGAGCCTGACCAAGCCAGCTCCGCTCCGGCTGACCACCTTGCCGACCCTGTTGGCTTTTCGGTCGGATCTGATGACGCCCCGGCGGACGATGCCTCTTCTGCCGATGCTGATCCTGCCGATGCTGACGTGGGTAGCGACCCAATGCGTAACTTGGACACTGCCGAGCCTGACCAAGCCAGCTCCGCTCCGGCTGACCACCTTGCCGACCCTGTTGGCTTTTCGGTCGGATCTGATGACGCCCCGGCGGACGATGCCTCTTCTGCCGATGCTGATCCTGCCGATGCTGACGTGGGTAGCGACCCAATGCGTAACTTGGACACTGCCGAGCCTGACCAAGCCAGCTCCGCTCCGGCTGACCACCTTGCCGACCCTGTTGGCTTTTCGGTCGGATCTGATGACGCCCCGGCGGACGATGCCTCTTCTGCCGATGCTGATCCTGCCGATGCTGACGTGGGTAGCGACCCAATGCGTAACTTGGACACTGCCGAGCCTGACCAAGCCAGCTCCGCTCCGGCTGACCACCTCGCCGACCCTGTTGGCTTTTCGGTCGGATCTGATGACGCCCCGGCGGACGATGCCTCTTCTGCCGATGCTGATCCTGCCGATGCTGACGTGGGTAGCGACCCAATGCGTAACTTGGACACTGCCGAGCCTGACCAAGCCAGCTCCGCTCCGGCTGACCACCTTGCCGACCCTGTTGGCTTTTCGGTCGGATCTGATGACGCCCCGGCGGACGATGCCTCTTCTGCCGATGCTGATCCTGCCGATGCTGACGTGGGTAGCGACCCAATGCGTAACTTGGACACTGCCGAGCCTGACCAAGCCAGCTCCGCTCCGGCTGACCACCTTGCCGACCCTGTTGGCTTTTCGGTCGGATCTGATGACGCCCCGGCGGACGATGCCTCTTCTGCCGATGCTGATCCTGCCGATGCTGACGTGGGTAGCGACCCAATGCGTAACTTGGACACTGCCGAGCCTGACCAAGCCAGCTCCGCTCCGGCTGACCACCTTGCCGACCCTGTTGGCTGTTCGGTCGGATCTGATGACGCCCCGGCGGACGATGCCTCTTCTGCCGATGCTGATCCTGCCGATGCTGACGTGGGTAGCGACCCAATGCGTAACTTGGACACTGCCGAGCCTGACCAAGCCAGCTCCGCTCCGGCTGACCACCTCGCCGACCCTGTTGGCTTTTCGGTCGGATCTGATGACGCCCCGGCGGACGATGCCTCTTCTGCCGATGCTGATCCTGCCGATGCTGACGTGGGTAGCGACCCAATGCGTAACTTGGACACTGCCGAGCCTGACCAAGCCAGCTCCGCTCCGGCTGACCACCTTGCCGACCCTGTTGGCTTTTCGGTCGGATCTGATGACGCCCCGGCGGACGATGCCTCTTCTGCCGATGCTGATCCTGCCGATGCTGACGTGGGTAGCGACCCAATGCGTAACTTGGACACTGCCGAGCCTGACCAAGCCAGCTCCGCTCCGGCTGACCACCTTGCCGACCCTGTTGGCTTTTCGGTCGGATCTGATGACGCCCCGGCGGACGATGCCTCTTCTGCCGATGCTGATCCTGCCGATGCTGACGTGGGTAGCGACCCAATGCGTAACTTGGACACTGCCGAGCCTGACCAAGCCAGCTCCGCTCCGGCTGACCACCTCGCCGACCCTGTTGGCTTTTCGGTCGGATCTGATGACGCCCCGGCGGACGATGCCTCTTCTGCCGATGCTGATCCTGCCGATGCTGACGTGGGTAGCGACCCAATGCGTAACTTGGACACTGCCGAGCCTGACCAAGCCAGCTCCGCTCCGGCTGACCACCTTGCCGACCCTGTTGGCTTTTCGGTCGGATCTGATGACGCCCCGGCGGACGATGCCTCTTCTGCCGATGCTGATCCTGCCGATGCTGACGTGGGTAGCGACCCAATGCGTAACTTGGACACTGCCGAGCCTGACCAAGCCAGCTCCGCTCCGGCTGACCACCTTGCCGACCCTGTTGGCTTTTCGGTCGGATCTGATGACGCCCCGGCGGACGATGCCTCTTCTGCCGATGCTGATCCTGCCGATGCTGACGTGGGTAGCGACCCAATGCGTAACTTGGACACTGCCGAGCCTGACCAAGCCAGCTCCCGCTCCGGCTGACCACCTTGCCGACCCTGTTGGCTTTTCGGTCGGATCTGATGACGCCCCGGCGGACGATGCCTCTTCTGCCGATGCTGATCCTGCCGATGCTGACGTGGGTAGCGACCCAATGCGTAACTTGGACACTGCCGAGCCTGACCAAGCCAGCTCCGCTCCGGCTGACCACCTTGCCGACCCTGTTGGCTTTTCGGTCGGATCTGATGACGCCCCGGCGGACGATGCCTCTTCTGCCGATGCTGATCCTGCCGATGCTGACGTGGGTAGCGACCCAATGCGTAACTTGGACACTGCCGAGCCTGACCAAGCCAGCTCCGCTCCGGCTGACCACCTTGCCGACCCTGTTGGCTTTTCGGTCGGATCTGATGACGCCCCGGCGGACGATGCCTCTTCTGCCGATGCTGATCCTGCCGATGCTGACGTGGGTAGCGACCCAATGCGTAACTTGGACACTGCCGAGCCTGACCAAGCCAGCTCCGCTCCGGCTGACCACCTTGCCGACCCTGTTGGCTTTTCGGTCGGATCTGATGACGCCCCGGCGGACGATGCCTCTTCTGCCGATGCTGATCCTGCCGATGCTGACGTGGGTAGCGACCCAATGCGTAACTTGGACACTGCCGAGCCTGACCAAGCCAGCTCCGCTCCGGCTGACCACCTTGCCGACCCTGTTGGCTTTTCGGTCGGATCTGATGACGCCCCGGCGGACGATGCCTCTTCTGCCGATGCTGATCCTGCCGATGCTGACGTGGGTAGCGACCCAATGCGTAACTTGGACACTGCCGAGCCTGACCAAGCCAGCTCCGCTCCGGCTGACCACCTTGCCGACCCTGTTGGCTTTTCGGTCGGATCTGATGACGCCCCGGCGGACGATGCCTCTTCTGCCGATGCTGATCCTGCCGATGCTGACGTGGGTAGCGACCCAATGCGTAACTTGGACACTGCCGAGCCTGACCAAGCCAGCTCCGCTCCGGCTGACCACCTTGCCGACCCTGTTGGCTTTTCGGTCGGATCTGATGACGCCCCGGCGGACGATGCCTCTTCTGCCGATGCTGATACTGCCGATGCTGACGTGGGTAGCGACCCAATGCGTAACTTGGACACTGCCGAGCCTGACCAAGCCAGCTCCGCTCCGGCTGACCACCTTGCCGACCCTGTTGGCTTTTCGGTCGGATCTGATGACGCCCCGGCGGACGATGCCTCTTCTGCCGATGCTGATCCTGCCGATGCTGACGTGGGTAGCGACCCAATGCGTAACTTGGACACTGCCGAGCCTGACCAAGCCAGCTCCGCTCCGGCTGACCACCTTGCCGACCCTGTTGGCTTTTCGGTCGGATCTGATGACGCCCCGGCGGACGATGCCTCTTCTGCCGATGCTGATCCTGCCGATGCTGACGTGGGTAGCGACCCAATGCGTAACTTGGACACTGCCGAGCCTGACCAAGCCAGCTCCGCTCCGGCTGACCACCTTGCCGACCCTGTTGGCTTTTCGGTCGGATCTGATGACGCCCCGGCGGACGATGCCTCTTCTGCCGATGCTGATCCTGCCGATGCTGACGTGGGTAGCGACCCAATGCGTAACTTGGACACTGCCGAGCCTGACCAAGCCAGCTCCGCTCCGGCTGACCACCTTGCCGACCCTGTTGGCTTTTCGGTCGGATCTGATGACGCCCCGGCGGACGATGCCTCTTCTGCCGATGCTGATACTGCCGATGCTGACGTGGGTAGCGACCCAATGCGTAACTTGGACACTGCCGAGCCTGACCAAGCCAGCTCCGCTCCGGCTGACCACCTTGCCGACCCTGTTGGCTGTTCGGTCGGATCTGATGACGCCCCGGCGGACGATGCCTCTTCTGCCGATGCTGATCCTGCCGATGCTGACGTGGGTAGCGACCCAATGCGTAACTTGGACACTGCCGAGCCTGACCAAGCCAGCTCCGCTCCGGCTGACCACCTTGCCGACCCTGTTGGCTTTTCGGTCGGATCTGATGACGCCCCGGCGGACGATGCCTCTTCTGCCGATGCTGATCCTGCCGATGCTGACGTGGGTAGCGACCCAATGCGTAACTTGGACACTGCCGAGCCTGACCAAGCCAGCTCCGCTCCGGCTGACCACCTTGCCGACCCTGTTGGCTTTTCGGTCGGATCTGATGACGCCCCGGCGGACGATGCCTCTTCTGCCGATGCTGATCCTGCCGATGCTGACGTGGGTAGCGACCCAATGCGTAACTTGGACACTGCCGAGCCTGACCAAGCCAGCTCCGCTCCGGCTGACCACCTTGCCGACCCTGTTGGCTTTTCGGTCGGATCTGATGACGCCCCGGCGGACGATGCCTCTTCTGCCGATGCTGATCCTGCCGATGCTGACGTGGGTAGCGACCCAATGCGTAACTTGGACACTGCCGAGCCTGACCAAGCCAGCTCCGCTCCGGCTGACCACCTTGCCGACCCTGTTGGCTTTTCGGTCGGATCTGATGACGCCCCGGCGGACGATGCCTCTTCTGCCGATGCTGATCCTGCCGATGCTGACGTGGGTAGCGACCCAATGCGTAACTTGGACACTGCCGAGCCTGACCAAGCCAGCTCCGCTCCGGCTGACCACCTTGCCGACCCTGTTGGCTTTTCGGTCGGATCTGATGACGCCCCGGCGGACGATGCCTCTTCTGCCGATGCTGATCCTGCCGATGCTGACGTGGGTAGCGACCCAATGCGTAACTTGGACACTGCCGAGCCTGACCAAGCCAGCTCCGCTCCGGCTGACCACCTTGCCGACCCTGTTGGCTTTTCGGTCGGATCTGATGACGCCCCGGCGGACGATGCCTCTTCTGCCGATGCTGATCCTGCCGATGCTGACGTGGGTAGCGACCCAATGCGTAACTTGGACACTGCCGAGCCTGACCAAGCCAGCTCCGCTCCGGCTGACCACCTTGCCGACCCTGTTGGCTTTTCGGTCGGATCTGATGACGCCCCGGCGGACGATGCCTCTTCTGCCGATGCTGATCCTGCCGATGCTGACGTGGGTAGCGACCCAATGCGTAACTTGGACACTGCCGAGCCTGACCAAGCCAGCTCCGCTCCGGCTGACCACCTTGCCGACCCTGTTGGCTTTTCGGTCGGATCTGATGACGCCCCGGCGGACGATGCCTCTTCTGCCGATGCTGATCCTGCCGATGCTGACGTGGGTAGCGACCCAATGCGTAACTTGGACACTGCCGAGCCTGACCAAGCCAGCTCCGCTCCGGCTGACCACCTTGCCGACCCTGTTGGCTTTTCGGTCGGATCTGATGACGCCCCGGCGGACGATGCCTCTTCTGCCGATGCTGATACTGCCGATGCTGACGTGGGTAGCGACCCAATGCGTAACTTGGACACTGCCGAGCCTGACCAAGCCAGCTCCGCTCCGGCTGACCACCTTGCCGACCCTGTTGGCTGTTCGGTCGGATCTGATGACGCCCCGGCGGACGATGCCTCTTCTGCCGATGCTGATACTGCCGATGCTGACGTGGGTAGCGACCCAATGCGTAACTTGGACACTGCCGAGCCTGACCAAGCCAGCTCCGCTCCGGCTGACCACCTTGCCGACCCTGTTGGCTTTTCGGTCGGATCTGATGACGCCCCGGCGGACGATGCCTCTTCTGCCGATGCTGATCCTGCCGATGCTGACGTGGGTAGCGACCCAATGCGTAACTTGGACACTGCCGAGCCTGACCAAGCCAGCTCCGCTCCGGCTGACCACCTTGCCGACCCTGTTGGCTTTTCGGTCGGATCTGATGACGCCCCGGCGGACGATGCCTCTTCTGCCGATGCTGATCCTGCCGATGCTGACGTGGGTAGCGACCCAATGCGTAACTTGGACACTGCCGAGCCTGACCAAGCCAGCTCCGCTCCGGCTGACCACCTTGCCGACCCTGTTGGCTTTTCGGTCGGATCTGATGACGCCCCGGCGGACGATGCCTCTTCTGCCGATGCTGATCCTGCCGATGCTGACGTGGGTAGCGACCCAATGCGTAACTTGGACACTGCCGAGCCTGACCAAGCCAGCTCCGCTCCAGCTGACCACCTTGCCGACCCTGTTGGCTTTTCGGTCGGATCTGATGACGCCCCGGCGGACGATGCCTCTTCTGCCGATGCTGATCCTGCCGATGCTGACGTGGGTAGCGACCCAATGCGTAACTTGGACACTGCCGAGCCTGACCAAGCCAGCTCCGCTCCGGCTGACCACCTTGCCGACCCTGTTGGCTTTTCGGTCGGATCTGATGACGCCCCGGCGGACGATGCCTCTTCTGCCGATGCTGATCCTGCCGATGCTGACGTGGGTAGCGACCCAATGCGTAACTTGGACACTGCCGAGCCTGACCAAGCCAGCTCCGCTCCGGCTGACCACCTTGCCGACCCTGTTGGCTTTTCGGTCGGATCTGATGACGCCCCGGCGGACGATGCCTCTTCTGCCGATGCTGATCCTGCCGATGCTGACGTGGGTAGCGACCCAATGCGTAACTTGGACACTGCCGAGCCTGACCAAGCCAGCTCCGCTCCAGCTGACCACCTTGCCGACCCTGTTGGCTTTTCGGTCGGATCTGATGACGCCCCGGCGGACGATGCCTCTTCTGCCGATGCTGATCCTGCCGATGCTGACGTGGGTAGCGACCCAATGCGTAACTTGGACACTGCCGAGCCTGACCAAGCCAGCTCCGCTCCGGCTGACCACCTTGCCGACCCTGTTGGCTTTTCGGTCGGATCTGATGACGCCCCGGCGGACGATGCCTCTTCTGCCGATGCTGATCCTGCCGATGCTGACGTGGGTAGCGACCCAATGCGTAACTTGGACACTGCCGAGCCTGACCAAGCCAGCTCCGCTCCGGCTGACCACCTTGCCGACCCTGTTGGCTTTTCGGTCGGATCTGATGACGCCCCGGCGGACGATGCCTCTTCTGCCGATGCTGATCCTGCCGATGCTGACGTGGGTAGCGACCCAATGCGTAACTTGGACACTGCCGAGCCTGACCAAGCCAGCTCCGCTCCGGCTGACCACCTTGCCGACCCTGTTGGCTTTTCGGTCGGATCTGATGACGCCCCGGCGGACGATGCCTCTTCTGCCGATGCTGATACTGCCGATGCTGACGTGGGTAGCGACCCAATGCGTAACTTGGACACTGCCGAGCCTGACCAAGCCAGCTCCGCTCCGGCTGACCACCTTGCCGACCCTGTTGGCTTTTCGGTCGGATCTGATGACGCCCCCGGCGGACGATGCCTCTTCTGCCGATGCTGATCCTGCCGATGCTGACGTGGGTAGCGACCCAATGCGTAACTTGGACACTGCCGAGCCTGACCAAGCCAGCTCCGCTCCGGCTGACCACCTTGCCGACCCTGTTGGCTTTTCGGTCGGATCTGATGACGCCCCGGCGGACGATGCCTCTTCTGCCGATGCTGATCCTGCCGATGCTGACGTGGGTAGCGACCCAATGCGTAACTTGGACACTGCCGAGCCTGACCAAGCCAGCTCCGCTCCGGCTGACCACCTTGCCGACCCTGTTGGCTTTTCGGTCGGATCTGATGACGCCCCGGCGGACGATGCCTCTTCTGCCGATGCTGATCCTGCCGATGCTGACGTGGGTAGCGACCCAATGCGTAACTTGGACACTGCCGAGCCTGACCAAGCCAGCTCCGCTCCGGCTGACCACCTTGCCGACCCTGTTGGCTTTTCGGTCGGATCTGATGACGCCCCGGCGGACGATGCCTCTTCTGCCGATGCTGATCCTGCCGATGCTGACGTGGGTAGCGACCCAATGCGTAACTTGGACACTGCCGAGCCTGACCAAGCCAGCTCCGCTCCGGCTGACCACCTTGCCGACCCTGTTGGCTGTTCGGTCGGATCTGATGACGCCCCGGCGGACGATGCCTCTTCTGCCGATGCTGATCCTGCCGATGCTGACGTGGGTAGCGACCCAATGCGTAACTTGGACACTGCCGAGCCTGACCAAGCCAGCTCCGCTCCGGCTGACCACCTTGCCGACCCTGTTGGCTTTTCGGTCGGATCTGATGACGCCCCGGCGGACGATGCCTCTTCTGCCGATGCTGATCCTGCCGATGCTGACGTGGGTAGCGACCCAATGCGTAACTTGGACACTGCCGAGCCTGACCAAGCCAGCTCCGCTCCGGCTGACCACCTTGCCGACCCTGTTGGCTGTTCGGTCGGATCTGATGACGCCCCGGCGGACGATGCCTCTTCTGCCGATGCTGATCCTGCCGATGCTGACGTGGGTAGCGACCCAATGCGTAACTTGGACACTGCCGAGCCTGACCAAGCCAGCTCCGCTCCGGCTGACCACCTTGCCGACCCTGTTGGCTTTTCGGTCGGATCTGATGACGCCCCGGCGGACGATGCCTCTTCTGCCGATGCTGATCCTGCCGATGCTGACGTGGGTAGCGACCCAATGCGTAACTTGGACACTGCCGAGCCTGACCAAGCCAGCTCCGCTCCGGCTGACCACCTTGCCGACCCTGTTGGCTGTTCGGTCGGATCTGATGACGCCCCGGCGGACGATGCCTCTTCTGCCGATGCTGATCCTGCCGATGCTGACGTGGGTAGCGACCCAATGCGTAACTTGGACACTGCCGAGCCTGACCAAGCCAGCTCCGCTCCGGCTGACCACCTTGCCGACCCTGTTGGCTTTTCGGTCGGATCTGATGACGCCCCGGCGGACGATGCCTCTTCTGCCGATGCTGATACTGCCGATACTGACGTGGGTAGCGACCCAATGCGTAACTTGGACACTGCCGAGCCTGACCAAGCCAGCTCCGCTCCGGCTGACCACCTTGCCGACCCTGTTGGCTGTTCGGTCGGATCTGATGACGCCCCGGCGGACGATGCCTCTTCTGCCGATGCTGATCCTGCCGATGCTGACGTGGGTAGCGACCCAATGCGTAACTTGGACACTGCCGAGCCTGACCAAGCCAGCTCCGCTCCGGCTGACCACCTTGCCGACCCTGTTGGCTTTTCGGTCGGATCTGATGACGCCCCGGCGGACGATGCCTCTTCTGCCGATGCTGATACTGCCGATGCTGACGTGGGTAGCGACCCAATGCGTAACTTGGACACTGCCGAGCCTGACCAAGCCAGCTCCGCTCCGGCTGACCACCTTGCCGACCCTGTTGGCTTTTCGGTCGGATCTGATGACGCCCCGGCGGACGATGCCTCTTCTGCCGATGCTGATCCTGCCGATGCTGACGTGGGTAGCGACCCAATGCGTAACTTGGACACTGCCGAGCCTGACCAAGCCAGCTCCGCTCCGGCTGACCACCTCGCCGACCCTGTTGGCTGTTCGGTCGGATCTGATGACGCCCCGGCGGACGATGCCTCTTCTGCCGATGCTGATACTGCCGATGCTGACGTGGGTAGCGACCCAATGCGTAACTTGGACACTGCCGAGCCTGACCAAGCCAGCTCCGCTCCGGCTGACCACCTTGCCGACCCTGTTGGCTTTTCGGTTGGATCTGATGACGCCCCGGCGGACGATGCCTCTTCTGCCGATGCTGATCCTGCCGATGCTGACGTGGGTAGCGACCCAATGCGTAACTTGGACACTGCCGAGCCTGACCAAGCCAGCTCCGCTCCGGCTGACCACCTTGCCGACCCTGTTGGCTTTTCGGTCGGATCTGATGACGCCCCGGCGGACGATGCCTCTTCTGCCGATGCTGATCCTGCCGATGCTGACGTGGGTAGCGACCCAATGCGTAACTTGGACACTGCCGAGCCTGACCAAGCCAGCTCCGCTCCGGCTGACCACCTTGCCGACCCTGTTGGCTTTTCGGTCGGATCTGATGACGCCCCGGCGGACGATGCCTCTTCTGCCGATGCTGATACTGCCGATGCTGACATGGGTAGCGACCCAATGCGTAACTTGGACACTGCCGAGCCTGACCAAGCCAGCTCCGCTCCGGCTGACCACCTTGCCGACCCTGTTGGCTGTTCGGTCGGATCTGATGACGCCCCGGCGGACGATGCCTCTTCTGCCGATGCTGATCCTGCCGATGCTGACGTGGGTAGCGACCCAATGCGTAACTTGGACACTGCCGAGCCTGACCAAGCCAGCTCCGCTCCGGCTGACCACCTTGCCGACCCTGTTGGCTTTTCGGTCGGATCTGATGACGCCCCGGCGGACGATGCCTCTTCTGCCGATGCTGATCCTGCCGATGCTGACGTGGGTAGCAACCCAATGCGTAACTTGGACACTGCCGAGCCTGACCAAGCCAGCTCCGCTCCGGCTGACTACCTTGCCGACCCTGTTGGCTTTTCGGTCGGATCCGATGACGCCCCGGCGGACGATGCCTCTTCTGCCGATGCTGATCCTGCCGATGCTGACGTGGGTAGCGACCCAATGCGTAACTTGGACACTGCCGAGCCTGACCAATCCAGCTCCGCTCCGGCTGACCACCTTGCCGACCCTGTTGGCTTTTCGGTCGGATCTGATGACGCCCCGGCGGACGATGCCTCTTCTGCCGATGCTGATCCTGCCGATGCTGACGTGGGTAGCGACCCAATGCGTAACTTGGACACTGCCGAGCCTGACCAAGCCAGCTCCGCTCCGGCTGACCACCTTGCCGACCCTGTTGGCTTTTCGGTCGGATCTGATGACACCCCGGCGGACGATGCCTCTTCTGCCGATGCTGATCCTGCCGATGCTGACGTGGGTAGCGACCCAATGCGTAACTTGGACACTGCCGAGCCTGACCAAGCCAGCTCTGCTCCGGCTGACCACCTTGCCGACCCTGTTGGCTTTTCGGTCGGATCTGATGACACCCCGGCGGACGATGCCTCTTCTGCCGATGCTGATCCTGCCGATGCTGACGTGAATAGCGACCCAATGCGTAACTTGGACACTGCCGAGCCTGACCAAGCCAGCTCCGCTCCGGCAGACCACCTTGCCGACCCTGTTGGCTTTTCGGTCGGATCTGATGACGCCCCGGCGGACGATGCCTCTTCTGCCGATGCTGATCCTGCCGATGCTGACGTGGGTAGCGACCCAATGCGTAACTTGGACACTGCCGAGCCTGACCAAGCCACCTCTGCTCCGGCTGACCACCTTGCCGACCCTGTTGGCTTTTCGGTCGGATCTGATGACACCCCGGCGGACGATGCCTCTTCTGCCGATGCTGATCCTGCCGATGCTGACGTGAATAGCGACCCAATGCGTAACTTGGACACTGCCGAGCCTGACCAAGCCAGCTCCGCTCCGGCAGACCACCTTGCCGACCCTGTTGGCTTTTCGGTCGGATCTGATGACGCCCCGGCGGACGATGCCTCTTCTGCCGATGCTGATCCTGCCGATGCTGACGTGGGTAGCGACCCAATGCGTAACTTGGACACTGCCGAGCCTGACCAAGCCAGCTCCGCTCCGGCTGACCACCTTGCCGACCCTGTTGGCTGTTCGGTCGGATCTGATGACGCCCCGGCGGACGATGCCTCTTCTGCCGATGCTGATCCTGCCGATGCTGACGTGGGTAGCGACCCAATGCGTAACTTGGACACTGCCGAGCCTGACCAAGCCAGCCCCGCTCCAGCTGACCACCTTGCCGACCCTGTTGGCTTTTCGGTCGGATCTGATGACACCCCGGCGGACGATGCCTCTTCTGCCGATGCTGATCCTGCCGATGCTGACGTGAATAGCGACCCAATGCGTAACTTGGACACTGCCGAGCCTGACCAAGCCAGCTCCGCTCCGGCAGACCACCTTGCCGACCCTGTTGGCTTTTCGGTCGGATCTGATGACGCCCCGGCGGACGATGCCTCTTCTGCCGATGCTGATCCTGCCGATGCTGACGTGGGTAGCGACCCAATGCGTAACTTGGACACTGCCGAGCCTGACCAAGCCAGCTCCGCTCCGGCTGACCACCTTGCCGACCCTGTTGGCTGTTCGGTCGGATCTGATGACGCCCCGGCGGACGATGCCTCTTCTGCCGATGCTGATCCTGCCGATGCTGACGTGGGTAGCGACCCAATGCGTAACTTGGACACTGCCGAGCCTGACCAAGCCAGCTCCGCTCCGGCTGACCACCTTGCCGACCCTGTTGGCTTTTCGGTCGGATCTGATGACGCCCCGGCGGACGATGCCTCTTCTGCCGATGCTGATACTGCCGATGCTGATGTGGGTAGCGACCCAATGCGTAACTTGGACACTGCCGAGCCTGACCAAGCCAGCTCCGCTCCGGCTGACCACCTTGCCGACCCTGTTGGCTGTTCGGTCGGATCTGATGACGCCCCGGCGGACGATGCCTCTTCTGCCGATGCTGATACTGCCGATGCTGACGTGGGTAGCGACCCAATGCGTAACTAGGACACTGCCGAGCCTGACCAAGCCAGCTCCGCTCCGGCTGACCACCTTGCCGACCCTGTTGGCTTTTCGGTCGGATCTGATGACGCCCCGGCGGACGATGCCTCTTCTGCCGATGCTGATCCTGCCGATGCTGACGTGGGTAGCGACCCAATGCGTAACTTGGACACTGCCGAGCCTGACCAAGCCAGCTCCGCTCCGGCTGACCACCTTGCCGACCCTGTTGGCTTTTCGGTCGGATCTGATGACGCCCCGGCGGACGATGCCTCTTCTGCCGATGCTGATCCTGCCGATGCTGACGTGGGTAGCGACCCAATGCGTAACTTGGACACTGCCGAGCCTGACCAAGCCAGCTCCGCTCCGGCTGACCACCTTGCCGACCCTGTTGGCTTTTCGGTCGGATCTAATAACGCCCCGGCGGACGATGCCTCTTCTGCCGATGCTGATCCTGCCGATGCTGACGTGGGTAGCGACCCAATGCGTAACTTGGACACTGTCGAGCCTGACCAAGCCAGCTCCGCTCCGGCTGACCACCTTGCCGACCCTGTTGGCTTTTCGGTCGGATCTGATGACACCCCGGCGGACGATGACTCTTCTGCCGATGCTGATCCTGCCGATGCTGACGTGGGTAGCGACCCAATGCGTAACTTGGACACTGCCGAGCCTGACCAAGCCAGCTCCGCTCCGGCTGACCACCTTGCCGACCCTGTTGGCTTTTCGGTCGGATCTAATAACGCCCCGGCGGACGATGCCTCTTCTGCCGATGCTGATCCTGCCGATGCTGACGTGGGTAGCGACCCAATGCGTAACTTGGACACTGCCGAGCCTGACCAAGCCAGCTCTGCTCCGGCTGACCACCTTGCCGACCCTGTTGGCTTTTCGGTCGGATCTGATGACACCCCGGCGGACGATGCCTCTTCTGCCGATGCTGATCCTGCCGATGCTGACGTGGGTAGCGACCCAATGCGTAACTTGGACACTGCCGAGCCTGACCAAGCCAGCTCCGCTCCGGCTGACCACCTTGCCGACCCTGTTGGCTTTTCGGTCGGATCTGATGACGCCCCGGCGGACGATGCCTCTTCTGCCGATGCTGATACTGCCGATGCTGACGTTGGTAGCGACCCAATGCGTAACTTGGACACTGCCGAGCCTGACCAAGCCAGCTCCGCTCCGGCTGACCACCTTGCCGACCCTGTTGGCTGTTCGGTCGGATCTGATGACGCCCCGGCGGACGATGCCTCTTCTGCCGATGCTGATCCTGCCGATGCTGACGTGGGTAGCGACCCAATGCGCAACTTGGACACTGCCGAGCCTGACCAAGCCAGCTCCGCTCCGGCTGACCACCTTGCCGACCCTGTTGGCTTTTCGGTCGGATCTGATGACGCCCCGGCGGACGATGCTGATCCTGCCGATGCTGACGTGGGTAGTGACCAAGCGCATGACGTGGACACGACCGAGGTTGACCAGTTAGCTAAGGAGTGTGAAGACTTACGGCGAGCGGTAGTGGAAAAAGAGCAGCGTGCTACTTTACTGCGGATCGGTTTCGATGCGCTTGCTCGCAGCTTTGCGCAACGTGGGCGGGAGCTTGACCAATTGAAAACAGAGCGCGCTTTAAGCTACCAAGAGCTTCACCGTTTGCGCTCCTCCCAAGCTGCTCATATCGAGGAACTAGTACTATTGCGAGCCGAACGGGATCTGCTTTCTCGCGACCGCTAGGCCCAGCTCAATCATCTGGTCAACTTTGTTAACTGGCTTCCGCCGTCGGTGGGGCTCGCCTATGATAAGCGGCGGCGAGAGCAGTCAGCGACCAATCCTGTGCCATCCCCGAACAAGCGTACACGCGGTACGGTCACCTCGAGTTCGGTCGGACCAGATTCGTCTGCCAGCCCTTCCTCTACGGTCGCAGAGCCCGCCGGCCCAGCTACCTATTCACGATCGGTATCTACTCATCCCAAGTCCCGGCAGGCGTCTCGCCCTTGCCTCGACGTCCTCAAGATTCCAGCACGTACGACCAAAAAATCGTCCAAGCCCAAGACCGTGACCACGCCACCGTCTGTAATGACTCGGCGGTCACAGACACAAACACGAGCGCGTGTCCCCTCCGCATCTCATGCTCGAAATAGCGACGGCTCCGTAGAATATGCTAACGAGGCCATGCTCATCGCACTGTCACGGTCACGTTCTCCCGTTCGACGGTGGTCTTCTGCCTCGACCACAAGATCTGACGATGGGTTGGCTGACACGCCGATCGAGATAGATCCAGCCAGTCATACACCCGCGACTCGTCCGGCTTCGTCAAGACGTGAAACTCGTACTTCAGCGGCCGTCTCCCGGTCGCCGCCCATCGCTGCGACATCTTCGACCGCAGAGCTACCCAGGGCGTCCGACGAGACCGATGGGTCTGGGAGGGTACCAAGCTACGATAATGGCCCAGTGAACAAGCTCTTATCCCCGACCGCCTTCAAGGCTTTACCCCCCGTGCTATCTTCGTGCGATTAGTAGATACCTGGGTATCGCACTCATGCAACCTATCCCCCTGGTCAGTTTGTGCCGTGTTCATCCCATCATTTGGGCTTAGTCGCTGTAGGTCACCTGGACTTGGATCTCTTATTTCACCACTCCTTCCGGCCCGAGCACTACCTGTTCCCCGTTCCGGACGGTTCCCTGCGTCCGCCAACTGAATCTCAGTAGTACCCGCGGCTAGCGACCTCCGCCCAGATTGCTGCTTTATACAGCCAGAAACCTTGGGATGTCTTGGATCGGCCTATTGCGCCTGTGTCACTCCGCCCAAATGGCTGGGTCCAAGCTTTGATGACCGCGTATCGTGAGTTCGAAGCCCATCATCGCCAGGCGTTATGGGAGTCTATTCATGTGATCCCAATCATCGTGAGTCCAAGTCGCGCGATATACCCTGGATTGAGCGTCTTCTATGAAGAATGGCTTCGTCGGCGTTCCCGGTCCAGCCCCCGGTGGAAGGCTGTACTCCGGATCGTGTTGGAGGGGTTGGTCTGGGGTCATTGTGACCTCGACATCCTGTTGGACCCCTTCTTCCTGCAATTTTCCAGGACGGTCTGAGAAATGCTGGTGGTATCCAGGGTTTGGCTGTCAACAGACCAACATCCCGAATCTGGCCTCATTTTTACTCCTTGCGGATTCCGCTGACCCTGGCGCAATCAATATCGGTCAGCCATTGCTGACCACCCAGGCTCATCCATCGACCGTCTCCGGACCAGGTTTGTAGCACAGTGAAAGGTCGTCTCCAGCATGAGAGACCATGACGTTTATGTTCACAGTCATGACCACCAGTCGCTGCTTATTATATTCACTTCTACTGAAGTCTGTTCACCATGTTTTCTAGATTCTGTGTACACCGCTTTGGTTGACCACGCAACTCCTTTACATCCATAGCTTACGTAGTCATTCTTCCTCCTTTCACAGAACAGGCGGCCACAGTGTTTCGTGGCCGCAGTCACCGCTCTTGGTCATCTTAATTGTATGATCACCATGTTAGTTGACCACATCACTTCTTCACATTCATGGCTCACGTGGTCATCCCTCGTTCTATCACAGACCATACAGTCCCCATGCTTCAAGGCCGCGGTTACCTTCCCTGGTCACCCTAACATATTGATTCTTCCTCATGTACTTGCATCACTTCAAAACGGTTTCGCCTAGCTCGATCACGTTCAAACTCTTGCGATGAATCACCACAATTGAGGTTTGCCTCATTCACCCAAGTCTCATCCTTATGGCCTTTCCATCGGACCAGGAACGGTCGATGTACCCTTCCGTACCTAATTTTTCGTTCTGTTCTCACATCTCGGATACTATCCACCTCGTATTCTCCTTCGGCTAGATCGTTTTCCCAGCTGTCCTCTAAAAGCAGAGATTCGTCAAAATCAACAAGCTCTGTTTCTTCCGCCTCCAGCCGCGCAGCAGGTCGATCAGGGTAAATCCGTACTAGCTTCAGCTTGGATACGTGAACGAGTGGGAATAATTGGTATGGGGTCCCTTGTACCTCCAACCGCACTGATGTTCCCCGCACTTCTCGATCACCCGAAACGGGCCGTGCCACGTGTGATCCAGTGTCCTGGAATATCCCTCCGTCACTCGATCCAGAGATAGCCACACTTGGCTATCGCGGCTGATTCCATTTGGCCCTTGATCAACGTTGTGTTGGTCAGCTCGGTCGTGAACGGCGTCCTTCAGTCGGTCATTCACCGTAGCGCGGGCTCGTTGATATTGCCGCTGTATGTGATAGCGCCATCTCCGGAAATCCCGATCACGTATTTTAGTACATCCCCCAATGGCAGGGTCGCTTCCAGCGTTTATCGAGGATCCCAACCATGGATAAGATAGAACGGGGTATCACCTCGTACTCGGTAATGGGCCGTATTGATGGCGAAGGTCCGGTGTTCAGCGTAATCGTCACAATCTTGTTGGTTCACATCCGTGCCATTCATTTTTAGCGCCCTGGTCAATGTTTGGACCATACGTTCAGCTGTAACATTGGCTTGAGGCCGATACGCCATTGTGGCACGTTGTTTCTGACCAGCAATGCGGTTGAACGCGCGGAAGAATTCCGACATGAATCCGGGTTTGCGGTCGTGACAAATAGATTCGCTTGCCTTAAAACGCCGGAAGACACATTCTTCACACCCTTCCGCGATCGTCTGGGCCGTTCTTGACGAGCGAGCTTTAGCGATCACGTAGCCAGAAAAAACATCCACCCAAAGCAACAGTTCGGTACTACCTTTGAATGACCTGGGTAACGAGGGGTAATGATCCATTGCAATGATCTAGAACGGGTACGTGGCCTGTAAATTCCCCGGGAATCGCCTCGTAAGATCGGACATCCTTTCCCGGTTTCGCAGTCGACGCACTTTCCCACATACTGCTGCACGCTTCTAAACAAGCCTCTCCAATGAAGGGCGATCGCACGCGGTGATACGTTCCGCTTACCCCTTATTGACCACCTTCCAGACTTGCGTGGTAGTGGCGTAGGACATCATCTTGCAGCAATTCGGGAGCCACCAAATGGACGAGCTCTGCGCGGTCACTGGGGTTAGCTGCCGCTCGTGGGCAGAATTATAGCAATCCACCTTCATCCACCACGTAATCTGGGGCAATAACCGCACTTTCTTTTGCTTCCGTAGTATCCAATTTGGTAACATACCCGACTAGGTACAGTTTGAGGTTGGCGATCCAACTTTCCCCATCTTGTGCTTGCTTTATGCGGTCAAGTCGTATCTGCTGTATTATTTCCTCTTGCATAATTGTGGGCACTTCACGCCTCCGTATGGCTGATCGTGTATCGACGTTATCTTGGCCACTTGATTGTTTGTCACTGGTACTAATGTCTCGTCCAGTCGGTTTATCACTTGTAAATCATGGCAATCCTGATCCGTTAGCCTGACCATGCCTTTTCCAGCCGTAAAGCGGAGCCAGCCAGTCTATCGGCACTTTGATTCCAATCGCGCTTAACATCTAAGAATTTGTGGGTCGGTCACGATCGCAGTAGATCTAGGGCCTTGAGACGTAGTAACTGCAGTCCCGGTGCCTTGCAGTCAATTTCACCCCATATCTGCCTGATGACCAGGTTGGAATCCCCACAAATGAACACTCGTTCCCTTGTCTGCGTGTCCAACAACTCGCAACTCAGCAGCGACCCATGGTACTCTGCCCTGTTCACGGTCAGCCCAGTGTCGATACGCGACGCAGCCGATACTATAGTCCACTCGGGAAGCTTCCATGTTATTGCACTGTAGGAGCCCCCTTTATTCTGGATACGGGCTGCTCCATCAACGCTGACTACAAGAATCGATTCTTCGCGGCTGGCCGTAGGGGGCGGCATACTGATAATCTGTCTCGGTTGCTTCCGGGGCGAGATCGCGATCAGCATATCATCTACATCCTCCCGTGGTGTGATGATTGCGGCAAGAATGCCAAGAACTTCTTCCTCCTTATTGTTGCATCGGTTAATCTCCAGAGTCCAGGTTGACAGTAAAGCTGCCCATCTTCCAAGTCTCCCGTTACGGCCCGATGATTGCATCAACCACGCCAGATTTGAATACCGTGTGAGCACCTTTAGGTCCCGCGATACTAGTAGTGTATAACAAACATCTAATATCCGGAGCAGGGCCAGGACTTCTTTTTTCACCACACCATAATTGAATTCATTCGGTTTTAACGTGCGAATTGTGAAAATAACAGGCCAATTCACTCCCTCGTGTTCTTGCAAAAAAAGCTGCGGATACCGCCCATTTGCTGGCATAAACCACTATCACTGGCCGACGATCCGGGTCAAAATGTCTTAGCACCGGGGTCTAAGCATTTTTTGCTTTCAGCATTGGATACGCGATCATAGCTTTTTCTCAACGATGACCGCTTTCATGTTCGCCATTAGACCCCTCTGTATTCGGTTGGTCATGACCATCCATCTTTGTCATTTTTTTATCACAGCTACCCACCAGCCTCTGGCCATGGTCATCGTCGATCTGGGTATCACCATCCTGGTCTTGGTTTGTTGCATGATCATCCTCCGAATTGTATAACCGCCTAATTTTGTGGAAGTCAGCCTCTCTCAATTCAAATAGGACTGAGGCGTATATAGCGAAATCTTCAATGAACCGGCTGTAGTAATTCGAGCTTCCCAAAAAGGACTGCATTGATCAAAATTTTTGGGGATATGGAATATTGACCAACGACCCCAAATC